CGAACCCCTTTGGGCCACAGAAGGCAGCAATCAGCTTAAACAGGGGCTTACTTATTAATATAAAAGAATTGTATAATAAATATAAACATATACATTGCATTATTTATGTATTTTCAGATAGATACATTTTCCTGATTATTTATTTTATTTGAATATTATCGAACAATAAATTGCGATATTCAATCAAAACACAATTGCAAAACCCATTTGTGTATTTGTTTATCAAATTTAACAATAACTCATTGCGTTCCAACAAATTTAACAATCCCATAGATCAGTCCAAATTAAAGCGGAACATTTATTTTATTTGTATTTTCACAACGAAAATCGCTTGGCCTTTTCAACTTTTCACTCCACTGAATGGGAAAAGCGACGCGCCAAACTGATAACAAAACAGACTTTTTGGGACAACAGGGTCTCGTCGCCAGCCACCCGCCCCCTTGCCCATTGGCAATTACAAATCTGGTCCCAGAAACAAGCTAAATTATTGTTGTACCCTTAAAAAGTGCTGTAAACACGAACCGTAAAATGCTCAACTAATCATTTGCTCAATGGTTGTGAGGGAATTTTAAATTGATGTATGTCGCTAACGCAACATTAACCAAACAATGTTTAGGAGCACTTTAAATAAGTGTTAGTACGGAGAAGTCTTTAATTTAATCTCTTCTAATATTCATTTGTAACAAGTTTTTAATGTGTTACGCTAAGTAATTGTTAAGATTTAGGAACAACAAAAAGTTATTTAGTTATTTTCCGGTTTAATTTGAGAGCCAAAATAAGTTTTAAGAAAGTGATTGCTCTTTGCTTAAGATTATCAGAAGATAAAGTATCAAAATTATCGCGATTCAATTGAACAGAATTCTAATTCCTGTTATTGCTTAAATTTAATGAATTATTATTTCAATTGCATTTAATATTGTTATTTAATTTAATGCCGAAAACATTGTTATTTAATTTAAAGCCAGTATAATATTTATTGCCGAGGAATATTTGTAAATGCACGCAAATTAAAAGAGAACAGCCATTATGCCTATGCGGTTTTATGGAACTGTTTAACTAATAACCACAGCAAATAGCATTTTGCTTCATGTTGTTATTCATAACGTAGTATTTTTGCAAACTACTGCAAGCAAATAGTTTATAATTGCGACGATATGTACGGACAAAAATGTCAAAATAAAGTTCAAACTACCACAAAACAATGAAATGCAAAAAAAAAAAAAAAAAAACACAAAAACAAAAGCAACCACAAATTCTACCACAATAGAAGTTGCAAATTTTTGAAATTGACAGTCAACCTAGGCAACTTTAAGCATTACAACTTGTGCGTTGAAAGTTTTAAAGTTACATTTTAAATAAAATTGAAAACAATATTACTGGCTACTTAGTCGTCCAACTGCCTGCAGCATCAGCTGCTTTCAAGAGCGAAAAACTACTTCGACTCGACTGAAGCGTTGCCATAAAAATTGTCAACTTTTGTGCTTGTGTTGATGTTGCTTCTATTGTATTGTTTGTGTGTGTTTGTGTGTGTGTTTGTGTGTGTGTGCTTTCATTTGGTATTACATTATTTACATAATAAATACTTAGGTTTAATTTGTTATGCTACGCGTAAATTTGATGCTTGCAGCGAAAAGCAAGCGAACGCTGCTGAAATACAAAGCGAGGCGCAATAAATGCGGAATTGGTATTAAACTCAGTGCGTGCCAGAAGTTCTAGTAATGACCAAGTCTTGGGAGCTGCCAAAATGGGCGTGATCGCCTCCCGGCCTTTGGGAAGTGTTCGGGCAGTACCAATATGCAAGGAGCGGAAGTCTCAAGTTTTTTTTTTTGGTTGGGCCATCTGTGCGATTTTATACGTCATTGCGTAGCTGCCCTGAGCAGGAAAATTGATTTGATGATGATAAAAACGCAGCCCACAAATTAGAGGGGGTGCATTTGTAGACGTTCTAATGATTGGCCCATCTAAGCAGGATCGATTTATTAATGTAATAAAAGGCAGGCAAAATTACAGACAAGTGGAAATATTACAAAATGCTGTTGCGAAATTTAAGCGAAGCAAATCATTGCCATAAATTATTCAAGAATTTTGCTAGGCACTTATAGGAAAGATGTCTTCGGTTCAGATTAACTAAATAAATCAAGAGTCAATTGAGGTCAAGTTGCAAATGCACAAAGACAAAGGAAATATAAAATCATTTCCTCAAGCTTTGAAAGCTGTCGAACATCCAATAACAGAAATAAATAAATGAATGTAAATGCAACTCAACTTAAATTCATCTGAAAGAATGAGACTTTAAAGCTGAAAATAAAAAATGTGTATATTTGATTAAGCCTTTTTGATACATAATCTATTACGTGATTTTACGTGTTCCACATTAATATTATATCATTTTGTATTTACGATTTATTAACCACTAAAAAAATAATTCACCAGTTAATTGGGAAAAAAGTGAATAGAATTAAATTTCAGCGAAAACTTAAAAATAATAATAAATAATTATGATCATGAAGTGCAAATATTTAATTGAAAGGGTACCGCACAAAAACTTGATAAACCCCTTTAATTGTTGTTATAGTGTCTTATAAAATCCAATTAAAAACAATCGGTCGATTACTTTTTTAATTATCAGCGATATTTAGTTGTAAGCACTTGGAATTTGGAAAGGTATATTATATTTGTTTGAATTTAATTAAACACAGGTAGACTTAAATAAAATAAAATGAATTGCAGAACTACCATTGCTTTTTATACTGTTCGAGGGAGACTTGACCTGGTCCCAGGACTACAACCAGCAGCAGTCCACCTACCACAGAAAGCGAATGAAAATAATTATACTTGACCAAATCACTGTTAGAGTCCTCCACAAACCACCAGGCATTTGTATACAGATTCAACACAGTCAAAATAATTGCTAGCAATAAGGCAGCCACTCTAGTGCGATAACCCAAAACAATCATCAGCATGAGCACAACACCCAAGCTATTCAGAGTCAATGCAGGGACTTCAATCTCCTGTCGGAGCAGCGTCAGATACATGCAGGCAAGGAGAACTCGTCCTGTCAAACGCATTAAATGCTGGGGACGACGATTAATTAAGAGTGGAACTCCTGCAGTTGTGGTACAGATTCTTGCCGCCGCCGCCCGCTCTTGTGTCTCCACGTGCAGCAGCAGAAGGCCACCGAGCAGTGCAAAGTTGCGCAAGAGCAACTGCAGCTGCAATGGCACCATATGCATATGAACTTGAAGCAGCACCAAGCTGGCTAACAGTATGACAGCAACATTCACCCACAATCGGACCAATATCAATACAGAGCCCACAACCTGACCCAGCAGATTAACGAGCACAATTAAAACGGATAGCATCTCGGAGCAGTTGAAGTGCACCTGCAGATACGCCAGTTGTTCAAAGAATTGCAACCACATTCGCAGCGCATCCTCGAAGAAGGTGGCAGTCAGACACAGTCGTGCCACAAGGGGCAGCATGTGGCGACTGCGTCGACAAACCTCATCCGTAAGATCCTCCGAACGCGAAAGCAAACGCAGCCACAATCCATCTACCCCCATATTCTTGTGTCCTTGTGCTTGCCTTAAAGTTGCAACTTATTCAGCATTCTATTTGCACAGTTAACTTTAGCAATTCAAATGAAAAGGTCAAAAGCAACTTTGTAAATGCTTAAGAAAAAAGTTCTCTAATTTTGTGTGCAAAGCTGAAAATAAGTACATGAAACCATATTTATTTAAAACCAACACAAATAGCAAAGACGCTTTGATTAGTGTATTTTTATATCATTTCATTTTATTTAACTATTCAATTAAGATTAACTATTCTTATAACTAGTCTTATAAATAGTCAAAGTATTTAATTTTGCTTTTAATATCTAGAGAATAATTCAAATCGAAAATTAATTTGCTTGTGATTTAACTATACATATTTAATAAACAATAAAGGGCTTCAAAGCTATTGAATATTTTATTATTTTATTATTTGATTACATAAATAAATAAAAATAATGCTTGTGTGCGCTGTGAATATTTGAAATTTGATCAAATTTGCAGCTTGTTAGAAATTAATCGTGTTTGTTGTTGAAAATAGTTAAAAAAAAAAAAAAACAATATACTCTATAATAATACTTAACCCTCCAATGGATTTCAATTGATTTCAATTGCATTGAAAATAAAGCCAGACAATTGCAATTTCTTGGAAGCTCTAATTTCAGAAATTATAATTGCACAATTTCTGATTTCGGCAACTGCTTTGATATTTGAGCTTTTCAAATTGCATTCTGTGTTGAAACGTTCATTAAAATGATACCATCAAAGGGTTTAATCGACCAATAAGTACAAGGCCATCAATCCATTTGAACAAATATGCCCAGTTAAGTAAATCGACATTGGATTGATCTGACTATTGGTAGAATAATAATAATGCGAATGACTAATGTAACAATTGTGCAGGAGACCACAGAAATGCTGTCAGAATGTATTACGATTTATCAATTAATTCTGCAATTGTATTCACCAAAGTGCATTATATATTATTCAGGCCTGCATTTATGTTCAAGAGTGCGAAAATAATTAAAATTTCTACACTTACTAAACTATTGAAAAGTGTTTATAGAACAAAGTTGAAGTTGGCAAAGCTTTGAATAAAAACTATTATGTGTGGCCGACTAACAGATGCCATTCAAGGAATATTTAAAAATTTGATGTTTTAACTATGATTTCAAATTAATTCATTTGGTTAAAGAATAATAATTATCGATAAGCCTCAAAAAATTAATTACTCTTGTGATGAATGAAAATGCAAATTAGTTTTGCCTATTGTTAGTTGTACAATTTCTGAGAACAAATGACATGAAAGGGAAATGGATTGATGCAAATGAAATTCCATTAAGTAGGCATTTGTTTGAGAATCAGAATAGGACTTAATTCAAATATTAAAAACAAGCTGCGCATATACATATTTTAAACTGATGTCTTCTTTTTTGACCTATTTTGCAGCACTGGCAGCAAGTGTTGCAAATTTGGGCGACAATTCGACGTCGCACCTAATTGCAGTCAGAAACGGAACAACAGCATCTGTAACAGCAATGCTCGATAGCAATCAATTGGCTATTGAGGAGAGCACAACCGAAACGCAAACTTTGGACACCTGGAGTGAGCGACCCGATACGGCAACTTTGACAAAAGGCTTCTCGATACCCACGTATTTGCCACCTTATCCGGATTTCATAGCTGCTGATTTGCCACAACGGACACAAACAACGTCGACGATGACGATGACGATGACGATGGCAACAATGATGCACAACAGAACGCCCACTGGCATCGGCAATGATACCAGCCCGATGCAATCGAATCTTAGTCAGCAACAGCAACCGCATATGCGACTCCATGCGTACGACAGTGAGCTGAAGGCTCAGCAGCTGCAACGCGAGAAGCAGCTGGCTTTGGAACGGGAACAGCTGCCCAGACGACAGCTCAGTTTGCCATCGAGAAATGTAACGGTGCAGGCGGGCCAACATGCGTATCTGCCCTGTCGGGTAAGTGGGTGGTTAATTACCATGATTGGGAGAGAAAGTGAGTGTGGCCTTGCCATTTCCATTTCATGCAGTTGCATCAGCACTCGAATAAACCGCTCTCCTGGATCAGATTACGGGATGAACATATCATAGCCGTCGATCACACCACCTTCATCAATGATGCACGTTTTGCTGCCCTGCTCCAATCATCGTCAAACATTAGCAGCCCACTATTGGAGAGCAACAACGCAAGCAGTGGCAATGGCAGCAGCACCAGCACCAGCAGCAGCAACAGCCTCAGCTGGACTCTGCTCATCAAATATGTCAGCCTACAGGATGTCGGCTGGTATGAGTGCCAGCTGGCAACCGAGCCAAAGATGAGCGCCAAAGTGCAGCTGTTTGTGATAAGTAAGTTAGAGTTGCAAGGGGCAATTTTTTGTGTAAGCCATCATTGGAGACACATCATCTAAGAGCAAGAATATATATCTGATTCAAGTACAAAATGTGTCAGGTGTGAAGCACCTATTACACCAACAATATATGCATTACTTGAGCTTGTTTATCCTAAAATTGACAATCTTGAATTAGTCTGTCTATTTCTATGCATGCCAGTTTGGCAGAAACGCTTCACACAATTTCCATAGCAATTTCCCATTTGTTTCCAAAATAAAACGAACCCCTGAGTATACACAACCGAAATTGGTTCCCCACCAAATGGAAAAGAAGCTTTTACAAATTTTAAATATAACGTATAAAAAATACTCAATACTTTTACGTATAAAAACTACATATAGGCTTTCTCTGAATTGTATTGCTTTCAAAAGCTCGAGAGATCCACGGCAATTCTTTTTGTTTCTGTTTTTGTTTTTGTTTTTGTATTTTATTAAAGGAAAATGTTCGGCAATGTTGCACAACGGCATGCCAAAATCATGGCCCTTTGTTTATAAAAGTGGATATATTTATCTTTCAATTTTAAACTGGCAGGCAATTATTCCACAAAGTTGCATAAGTGACGATGTACCTTTGTAGTCAAGCCAACGGGACCTGCATATGTACATATATGAAAGAATGGCCCACAAAAACATTTAAATTAATTCAATTTCAGAAATGATTTGTTGTGTTTTTTCCACTAACCGAAACAGGTATTGGTAGATTTTAATATTTACTATCAATCAGTCGAGTGGAATTTTTAAGTGAACAGTTGTTGTTATTAAATTTGTCTTCATTTTACCAAATTTCGTTGATCAGCACCAAAAACGGAATTAATAGGCGACAAGCAACGCTTTGTAAAGGCTGGCAGCCGAGTGGAATTGCATTGCATTGTGCGTGGCACGTTGGAGGCACCGAAATACATTGTCTGGTATCGGGGCGAACAGCAAGTGGCCTCAGAAAACGAGGCTGGCGGCATTGAGAATGGCTGGTATACACAAATTGATCGTAATATATTCGGCAGCACAGAGCACAATCGGAATACGGTATGACCAAAAATAAATAAAAATACCTAAAATCAAATCAATTTTAATCTAAAAATGCAATAACTTCCTTACAGATTGGCAGTTTAGTCATTCCTGTGGTGCGTAAAACCCATTCGGGGAACTACACCTGCGAGCCGGAAAATAGCGATGCGGTTTCCATTCAATTACATGTGCTCAGTGGTACGTAGGCATCTTTAAAGTTTAAAATATAATAGTTTAATAAATCTGTGCTAATTTCTAGGGGAGTATTCGGCATCTGCAATCATGTCTACGGCTGCTGGCTTATATAGACACGATCATGGCTATAACAGTCTCCATCAGTGGCTCATCTTTCTGCTGGTCGCTTTACACAAGACATGATTTGTCGTTACTTCCATTACTTTTTATAATATAAGATTACTTTGTAGGTAAATTTCCACACATTTCAAATTTCAAATGGTTTTTCACATAATTATAGCACCGTATTTTATACCATTTCTATATATAATAAGTATCTCATGTCATTTTTGTTATTGCTTTTGGAATTAGATTGCTAAGCACTTTTAACTCTAAGAATTCGATTGTGTTAAAGACTAAGATATTTGCGTAAATAAAGCCAAAGGCGTATTAAGTAAGAAATTGTTGATGTGGTTTTTGGTTTTTGTATGCAAAACAATAACAGAAACGAAGATAAATATATATAAAATAATTCAATTATCAAAAAATGAAATGAAATAAATTCAAATCGGATTGAGTTCGAATTCATAAAATGTGAGTGAAACTTTTTAGTTTTATTAGCTGCAGTTCATACTCCTAAAATATGTCCAAAAGGTTGCCATTTCTAGCAAGCACATCGGCTACTTAAATATGCTCACAAACAAGGACGTACTTGAAGATGCAAATAAAAAAAGAATTAATAAAAAACAGTTGATAATTTAAAACGGATGCGAGGAAGATTGTGCGGTAACTGCAGACGCCTATTGTCTTGCCTTTGTTTCGCTTGTTGGTCTTTGCAGTTGGCCATTTTATTTTTTATATTACCGCATGGCAACTATAATTTTCCACGATTTCTTGATTGCCCCCATCCCATAGATTCGCGCGCTCGTTCAACGCTGGCTCATTTATCAACACGCCTGACCAAAGCCAAAGAAACCGTGGCCAAAGTTTTATGGCCAACTTTCGAGTTTACTTTTGCCACAAAAGTTGTTGGCCCAGCTTTTCATCTCTTGCGCATACACCTTGCGTTTTTCTTATTTTCTCGTAGCCAGCGCCACTCAACAGGCAATTTACAGCTGGACAGTGGAAAACAGATAGCGAAAAGGAGCAGTAAGGAAGTTGCCCGGCCTAATCACTTTTTGATTTATTTGCCAGAGTTGCGCTCAAAACTTTTGCAAGCAGCTCATATTTCTTGGTAATTCTGCGGTCTGTCTCCTATGTTGCCTGTTGCTTTTGTGCTGCGTAGCACAGTTGAAAGAAATACATGAACCGAGATTCAAACGTAACAAATAATATTTTGCTTAAATGCTGCGTTGCAACATTTGCTTAAATTTTGATTTTAAGTAAATACCTAAAGGAAACTTTGGCAAACTATCGGAAAATCGTGGTGTCTGTCTTTGAAATTCCCGCACAGGTCTTTATATATTAGCTTTATATATTATTTTTCGTACCTGTTCTGTTCTGGGCACTGGCAATTTTCTACTGGCAATTTTCTACAAATATGTCAAAAGTGTTTAAGCTTGCCGACAAACTTTTAAATTACTTTCAAGTCTAAAAACTTGGCCAACAATTTTGCCTAGTCTTATCGGCTAATTTGTATGAGATTGTTCATAATCTGTGATTAGCCAATTAGGTGTTCTGTCCGACGAGATTTGCTGCCAGAACCAATTTGAGCAACAGCTATGACGTATAATTGAATCTAACATGATACGACTTTAAATATTTAGCAAGTTGTAGAACTTGAACTTATTTGGAAAGTGCGTCAGATATTCAATCTGTGCTAAACTTTGCACAACGTTACAAATTTATCACATTGCTTGAACTTTCGTTGGCATTCTTTTTAGTCTTAAATGCTTGAAATGTGCCCTGTCGTTGCCTGCGTCATAAAAAATGCATTCAGGTAGGTCAATTCCAGCACCTGTTGACCTCACTGGGAACAGTTATCTTGCGCATGCTCCAAAATTCAAATGGGTTTTGGGCGCCAACTGCTGCACTGTTCCCAGCAATCAGCTGATGGGCGGGAAAGCTTTAAGCGAGAGTTTTTTGCAAGAAATGAATTTCTTATTTTCGTAGCCCAAAAGAAACTTTCAAATGAATTCATAAGATTTGTAAATTTATATAATTAATTTAATAACCTTTAATTTGCATAAATATGCACAATATGTTACTCGTTTTGTGTTTGATATATATTTATATTAAATTCCTTAAGATTAATCGCGCTTAAAGTTGAACTAAAAAGCAAAATTTTTCAATTTTTGCAATTTATTTTTACATAATATTCAAAATTTGATAATTTGCAATTTTGATATATATTTGAAATACTTGGAATGCACAAAAATAATTTGTTGCTTTTCGTGTTTTTTTGTTGTTGTTTTAATTGTATTGTTTCGAATAAATTGTATGCTATAACAAAGAACTCATACGCATCATATAGTACAAGTACCTACATAGGTGTATATATTTTGTTTAAAGCCATTAGGTTCTTGTTTAGTGAAATCCTATTTGATTTAAATTGGTACATTTCTTCTATGCTTTAAGTTGTTGCTTCTTTGTTTCTTGCTTTAAAAGGTGTGTACGAAAAAGTTTGTAATTAAAAATATATATGTGAATCTTTCGTTTTTGTTTTCTTATTTTATTTTTATTTTTCTTTTTTTTGTTTTTCTTTTCTCTTTTTTTGTAAATATACACTTTTGTTTTCTATTCGCTTTTTTAATAATTGAATAATTGGACCATTTGTTTATTTGACGTCGTGGCTTAGAATTTCCTATGATAATAATAAACATTTCTTTTTGTTCCGCACAATTCCCAGGTAAATATCTCTAAACTAACGCACATTCCTTTATCGATAAGGTAAATACTTAATATATTAATCTGATGCAACAGTTTGTTAAATATACACATATCTATTTGTGTACATATGTATGTATATATCTTATGTTCCCATAAGGTAAAGAATTATGTTTAAAACGCTTTACAAGTGTGGCTCTCCCTACTTTCGTTGCCCTGTCTACGGTTGTTGTATTTTGTATATATATATCTGTAAACATATATATATATATATTGGTACAATATGCTAATTTTGCTTTTCACTAATTGATTTCAGTTAACGTTTTATTTGTGGGGTAATCAACGCTTCAGCTACTCGTACTACACAACTATGCGATCTATGTATGTATATATATATATATTTATGTATCGGAACGCGATAACTATGGATTGTTTATTGCCTTGCTTAGCAAATTCGTTAGGTTTTGTCATATGTATGCTATGGTATGGTAAATATAAATATACATGTATATTTATAGATATATATTGTGTGTAGTTCTATGTAATTTAACAACTTGGCCCCCAATTCGACTGAGTACTCCTTGATTAGGTGTGTGACGGTGTTCTAGGTGATTAGATGTTTAATGTATTCTTTTTCCGTGTTTTTCTTTTTGTTTACTTATATAATGTACATAACGTTGCAATCGGCTATTTTCTCAGTGCACAGCATCGATGTCCCGTTGCGCCCGCGATATTTTCAGCTTATCCTTGGGCGTATTATCCTCGCCCGATTCCAGTGCAAACATCTTCATCTTCTCCTTAAAGGACAGCTTCTCTGGCACCGCATCTCCAGCGCGTTGTTGCTGCTGCTGTTGCTGCTTCTCCGCCAGGCGACGTTGTCTCGGATCTCTGTGAAGGAAGAGCACGTAGAATAATTAGCTCCTGTATGACAAAAATAAGCAAAACATGTCTGACTTACCTATAAACTTCTTGGGCGCCAATGACGCCTGGCGTTGATTGCACGGTGGTGTTCCAGAGCGCCGCATCCGGTGTTGAAGGCATCGAGGGTAACATGGAGGCATCCAGATTGTGCTGCATATACTGCAAGTAGTTCGGTATATTTATTTTACTACTATTATAAATTACAATATGCTTAAATAAAACTTATCTGTGTTGTCAAATTAATATAAAATAATATTTGAAATCATGTCCAAAATCAGATATAATTAAATGATATAAGAAAATTACAATTTAAATTAGAAACAAAAAAAACTCTGGCACTTTTTTCAGTCGAATTAATGTTGCTTAACGCAAATCTGAAGCAAATGCTTAGTAAATAATCTTCATGCTGCAGATGTACCCATAAATATAATGTGATTTGCAACTTACGCTTGCATCCTCGCGTATGGTATCCAAATCCTGATGCTCCAACGCATAGTTGTCAAGCAGATATTGCTGTTGTAGTTGCTGCTGTTGCTGCTGTTGCAAGAGCTGCTGATGCTGACTGCTAATGCCAACAAAATTGTTATCCTCATCATGGAAGCTCACACGTTTGTTGTCCCGCTGCAGCAGCGGCGGTGGAGTGCCCAAGCTCATCCCTGAGCCCGTTGCCGAGACATAAGCTGCATTTAATTCCATGGCGCTCAGCGGCGACGGTTGCATTGTGTTATTGTTTAGGCTGCCGTTGTTGTTGTTGTTGTTGCTTGCGGTCTTTTTAATCTCAACGGCAGCTGCCTGATTGCTGGTGGCGGTTTTCAACAGGCCCACCGACGAGTTATTGCCAACACTCGTGCGTTGCTTCTGCTGCGACATAATTAGATACGAGCTGTTGCGCTCTGGTGGCGGTGGTGGTGGCACCACCACTCCACCACCATCTAGCGTCGTCTCATTGTTGTTGTCCTTGTCGAGCATGGTCAGCTGCGTGAGCTCTTTGGCCAGACTCGAAATGGGATGCTCCGTCTGCAGATGCCGTTCGTCCGCAAAGCTCGCTGACTTTTGGGATTTCGATGGCGACGAGGGTGCTCCACCACCAGCACCACCACTGCCGCCCGCTCCACCCTCCGAGTAACGATTATGCTTGAGTATGCTTTTGGGCTGTTGTGTTTGTGTGTTGACTGCATTTGGAGCAGCTGTTGCTGTTGTAGTTGCTGCAGCAGCTGCTGTTGCTGCTGCTGCTGTTGTTGCTGTTTGGGTTGGTGGCTCGATGGCATTGCTCTCAGTGATTTCAGCGAGTTTAATCTCCGTCTGGCGATAGTTGGTGATGGGCGTTTGTATGGCACTGCTGACCGTCGACAGCCGGAATAGCTCCTGCACATTGTCCTTGTCGTAGGACTGTTCCTGTTCATCCTCCTGCTGCTGCAACTCCTGAGCGCGTCGCTCAAAGTCTCGCTCCAGGACGAGCGTCTTCAGCTGCTCCTCCTGCTGCGGCGTGCGATTCACTGTCGCCGACGATAGCTCAACAATCTGCTGTTCACGCCAGTGTCGTATGTGTTCGCGTCGCATCTCCAGATCCTTTTCGCGCTCCTCCCGCTCCCAGGGATTGCTGCCGCTGTGCAACGGTCGTGTAGTCGCCGCTTGATTGCTGGGCAAATAGCTGCCTTTGGGTGGATCCAAGGTGCTCGCCACATAGTTCATGCCAGGCGCCAGCTGCTGGGTGGCCTTGAACAGCGGATGGGTGGCGGTGGGTGGCAACGGTGGCTTATCCTCGCCGGGGTGTTGTGCGGGCAAATAGCCAGCTTGTTGCTGCAGTCGCTGTTGTAATTGCTGTTGCTGCTGCTGCTGTTGCTGCTGTTGTTGTTGTGGTTTAGGCGGCGCCGCTGGCTTGCTGGGTGATTGTAGACTGCCCATTGGCTTCGGTGGCAAAGTTATAAAATTTGGCGAAGCCTGTTGTTGTTGTTGTTGCTGCTGTTGCAGCTCGTAGAGTGCTGCTGCCTCGTGCAGCTGACTACGACGCGCATGTTGCTGATAGTCGAGGCCACCATTCTGATAGCCCGGCACAAATTCATTCACATTCTGCATGCTTTGACTGGCGCTCATTGGTGCCTGTTGCTGCTGTGTTGCGTGCTGTTGCTGCTGCTGTTGTTGCTGCTGGTACATGTTGCTTATGTTGGGCATCGATGGCGCCATCATTTGCTGCATGCGTAGCGTATGCTGAAAATTTTGCTGACTTTTGGCGCGATTGTTTAACGTGAGCTGCTGGCCATTTAAATTGCTGCTGCTGTGCGCAAATTGTTGCTGTTGCAGTGCATGTTGCTGTTGTTGCTGCTGCTGCTGTTGTTGTTGCTGCTGCTGCAGTTGCTGTTGTGCAGATTGCTGGCTGTGGTAGTAGGCAGAAACAGGGCGAGTGGGCAAATTAGCGCTCGCCTGCAAGTGTTGCTGGTAGGGCGAAGCCTGTTGCTGCTGCTGCTGTTGTTGTTGCTGCTGTTGCAGTGTGGCAGCATGCGGGGAATTGCCATTGTAGGCGTTCATGGTGCCAAGTCCGGAAATGGTCGCTCTATAAGAAATTAATTTTAAACACATGATTCATAGTTTTGCACAAATTATCGCTACCAGCAACTGTTGCTGCTGTTGCTGTGTCACATGTGTATGTGATATGTGTGTGTGTGTGTATATGTTGCTGTTGTTGCTGTGTGTGCCGTGTTGCTCGCGTGTTTAAATTTAATGACAAATATGGGGTGTGTCTGTGCCAGCTAGCGAAAATAATCAGTGACTTGTGTTGCTGTTGCTGTTGCAGGTGCAGCAACAACACACGCAACAAAACAATAATAATAACGATAATTAACGAGAGAGAAATGTGTGTGTCTGAAATGAGGAACAAGGACAGCAACACGCTAATTACTCACGTACTTGGCTCAGTTCAACAAGCTGATATTCCCTTTGTATGGGTATAAAGCCGTAAAGTAATTTCTTTAAGCGTAATGTCGTCCTAGAAAAAGCCAAAGAATTTTAAGCTAACAACAGCAACAACCCCACACACACACACACACACAAACAATAGCAACATCATCCAAGATTTTAAATTATTGATTCCACATGGGTTTTTCGAAAGGTACTCTGGTTTATGGCTGAATGCGTTTTTCATTCCCCACTGGCCATTCTGATGGCCGTCGTTTCACTGCGGTTTCTAACCATGAAAGGACTATGACTAAAGGTCATATTGCTAACCGCAACTGACAACTGCTAACTGCGACTATCAGATATGCTAGCAATTGTAAATGAAATAATTCAAATTATAAACATTGAATTTAAAGAAGGAGTCGAAATGAGCTCACTGACTGAATATTATAAGTCAAATTGGAAAAGATTTATCAGCTGTCACATACAATAATTAAAAGCAATCGTAACGAATATTCCATAGAACTGCTGACAACGATTTAATTATAAGTGACTATCCCAGAGTTTATTTCTACATTTTAAATATCCTTTTTTTTTTTTTTTTGTCAAAATGGAACTTTATCTTAGACAACCCTAGACGCAGAATCCGTTAACAGTTTTTTGCATAGTTCTTTAAAGTCGTTCGAATGCAAAAAGGACTAAATTTAAACATTAAACTTTACCTCAAACCTGACCACAGTCAGCATGTCTTCTTTTTGATTTATGACTATGACTATGGCAATAAATTAAATGAGTTTCTAATTTAATTAAGGTAAAATAGTATTTTTTTTATAATAATAAAATATTGTATTCGCCTGCAGTTAAATTGAAAGTTATATTAACTATAAATATGTGGTAGGTACCCAAAAAAAAAGAATAAAATTAAATAAAACTTACCTCTCATTCAAAATTGGCTGACTTTGATTCTGTGCACGATACACGCTTAAATTCTGGTAGAAGCCCTGCTCGTTGCCGTTGCCATTTCCATTTCCATTTAGATTTGCATTTGGATTTGGATTTGGATTGTTGCGACTGCCATTTGGTTGACTCCGACGATGCCACCTCCTGCATTGTTATGCAAACTGTGCGTGCTGCGTGACTTGGAATTGGCCAGCGCTGTGTGTGTGGGAAGAGAAATCAATTACAAAACTGGACACTGTTATGGAGTTGAGCTTATAATTGCTAGTGTCATTTAGAGAAAGAGAGAGCGATATATGGGGGGTTAGTGAGTGGAATGGCAGACACTTACATATATTGCCAGATCCCGTGTGATGATGCAGGGCCGGCACCGATTTGCTATTGGGCAGGTGTGCAGCTAAGGGATTCATGATGTTACTACTGATGCTGTTGATGTTATTGCTGTTGTTGCTGTGGCTATTGTTGATGTTGCTATTGCTCAGATTTAGGTGCTGGTTGAGACTGTGACTCGTGTGGCTATTGGCAATGAGCGGCCCACCGAGTACGCCCAGCGACTTGGACGATTCGGCGCCGCCCATGCGACTCAAATCTCGCTCGGACATGCGGCGATTACCTGTTTATTATTTGTTTACCCATTATTATCCAAACAAAAGTGCAGCAGGATAAGAGGAGGGGATTGTTGTTGTTGTTGTGTCGGTGCATGGGTTTTGGGGGGAGAATAAATAGATTGTATTGGTTTTAGTAATCGTCATTTTGCAAGTTCCAAGTAATTATTTGTGTTGTCTTTGTGGGTGTGTGTATTGAATTTAATCAATTTTTAATTAATTCATTAATTATGCATTCAAAATGTAATTAAAGTTGGCAAACACAAATACTACAACAGCAATTCTACAAAAGTCTATGTCAATACAAATATAAAAACAAACATAAATACGATAAATGTGAGTCAGAATATTTAAATGCGCATCAAATGTGAGAACAAAAGCAATTTGTGTAGACAGTGGATAAAGCACAAACAGTTTCGAATAAATTGTCAATTCAGCAACAATAATAAATGAATAGCAACAACAACATGCGTACAACAAAGGAAACCAATTTAATATTCCGTTCTCTGAAATAAAATTGCTTAAAACCGAAAAAGCAATTAAATTAACTCTAAATCCAGTAAAACTAATGCGATGCTGAAAGCACACAATTCTAATTAATTTTCTGTATAAATGTAGACAATATTTTATGTGCGACCACTAAATAATTAAATATCAAATCAACACTGAGTAAAAATCTGCATTTAAACCATATTAACTGTTTTTGGTGTTCACTTAAAAATAAATATAAAAAAAATACTAATAAAAAGCTGGAATTGCTAAATGTTGCAATCAAGAAACGACTATGAAGGAATTCAAAATTGTGAAACAAAAAAAAAACGACTTTTTTAAAGCAACACTAAATTGACACAAAAGTAAAAGTGGGCCTAGAAAACAAACTAAACGCATTGCAAGAGTTGGCATGTAATAAAATACAACAACAAGAAGTAGCAGAACCTCGGTGCAATGTAATTGGGTTGTCATCTGTGCGTTGGACACATCAGCATCGACGACGACGACGACGACAATGTAGTTGTTGCTGTTGCAGCTGCAGCTGCAGTTGTTTCCGTTGTTGCTGGCCTAACAGCAGCAGCACCAGCAGCAGCAACATAATTATCATGGACATTAGCGGAGCAGCAGATACAATCGGAGGAGGAGCAGGAACAGGTGCACGAACATGAATCATCCTCATCCTCATTGTCATCGCTGCAGCTGCAGTTGCAATCGTGGTTGCTGTTGTTGCTGTTGCTGCTGTTGCTACTGCTGGTGGCCAAGGACAGCAGCAATTTGGCTGTTGAAGGTGGTGAGGCTGGTCGACGTTGATGATGCTGATGATGATGATGGTGGTGGGTGTGGATTTGGTGATGGCTTTGCTGTTGCTGCTGCTGCTGTTGTTGGCGTTGCCTTTGTCTCTGCTGTTTGTTGCGTTTCAGCTGTCGCACGCTATGCGCTCGACGATTATTGCACATGACGCTGCGACGACATTGCTGATGACGGGCCAGGGTTGGGGCAATTGGCTCCTGAACAGCAGCTGCTGTTGCTGCCTGGCAGCTGTCATAGCACTTGAAAGAGGAAGCAATATTGTTGTTGTTGCTGCTAGTTGCTGTTGCTGCTACTGCTGCTGTTGCTGGCTGTGTGTTGTTTCCGCGACAATGCGCACAACAAGGACACTCGCAGCTGAGTTGAGTTTGCTGCTGCTGCTGCTGCTGCTGCTCCTCGCTCGATTGTGGCAACTGGACATTGTAATCCTTGCCAGCGCTGCCAAATAAACTCCACTCCTTCAACTGCTTTAAAATGTCGCCCTGTTCATTTTGGGTGAGTTGAGTTTTTTCAGCTGCCAGCGCTGAGGTCGATTTCGATATCATTTTGCTCGGCACCAAATTTGGTTGAGCATCAAAATATGCGGCAATTTCACGCACCTTGCCCTGACCGAGATCCAACCGGAAGCTGGGACTGGGACTGAGATTCGTATGGCTGGAGGAGCGACGCTGAATAATATTATTGCTGATGTTGAGGCTGCTGTTGGGAATATCATTGGTGCTTGGCTTAAGAAGAGTTGTTGTGTTTGTGGTGCTGGCACAATATTGATTGCTTTTATTATTATGTACATGGGGTGCACAGGAACTGTCATTAGGAACTTGTATGCTGACTAGTGGAGGTTGTGGTTGAGCAGCACCAAACAATCCTGACCTTTTATGCGAACGCTCCGCGTTGAGTTGGCGTCGACATGGCGATTGCTGTTGCTGCTGTTGTTGGGTTTGGCGCAGTAGCGGCATGCGCTCAATGGACTCACTGGAGGAACGCTGGCTATTGGAGCCGGAGCCACCGGAACCGTAATCCACTGCCGAGCAATTCGTGGCTCGCTTCGTATTCAATTCGCGGCGTATCTTTTGTATTAGCGGCATGCGTTCAGCAGCCGACTGTTGTTGCTGTTGTTGGTCCCACATTGCCAGTGATTCTGTCGATGAATTGCTATTGGCAAAATGGCTAATGGCATCATGGGTGTGATATTTGCGATCGATGCTTGGGGCAACGCACGGCGTCGGTGGCTCCAGATCAAAGCTAACGGTCTTGCGATAACCAGCAGCCGGATTGCGTTTAATTGTCGAAGGAGTTGTCGTTGTCGTTGTGGTTGCCGTTGCAGTTGCCGTTGCATAACTGCTGCTGCTGCCGGCGAGGCAGGGACGTTGCTGCTGCTGCTGGTGTTGTTGTTGTTGCTCCTCTTCATCGTCTATAAAGGGTATATCGCCCGAATCGGCCATGGAGGCAATTGAGTCCTCGTTGAGCGGCTGATGTGCATCGCTGTAGCTGACAAAATTGGTAAAAGAATCCTGCGATTGCCGTAACTCGGACGTCTCCGGCACTGGCGCCGCCGCCGGCTCATCCAGATACTCCTCAATGTAGATGGAGGGTGGCGGTGTGCGTCGCAACGGACGCAATGGACTAAAATGTGGTGCGGCCACCGGTGGCTGATAGTAGCTCGATGTGGGCTCATTGCACAGATACAAACTGCTGGCGGAGCGTGCAATTGGTCGGGTATCCCTATACCTAGGATCAATGTGCAACTGATGCCCCAAGGCGCACAGTTCCTCCTGCAAACAGGATGCACTCAATCGCCGGACTGGCGGCGATGCGGCACGCATGCAGGCAAAGGACTCGCGACGACTGCGATTCAGACTATCATCTGAGATGGAGTTGTTGTAATAACGCGCCTGCTGCTGGTACGAGGAATGGCGGCGTTGTTGCGAATGCTCTTGTTGTTGTTGCGGTGGTTGCAGTTGCAAATAATTGTTGCTGCTGGCTGAGTCTTTATTATTTTGATTGATCGATTAATCGATTGATTGATTGATTGATTGTATGATTGATTGATTACCCAAAAAACAAATTATGCATTTGCGGCAGCGTTTGTGAATTTTTTTTTTTTTTTTTTTGGACAGGGAGGTATTTTTTTTTAGTCATACTTTGGTTTTAGCTTACACAAGTAAAAAGTTGATGTGGTCTGTGTTTTTTGTTGTTGTGGGTGTGTGAATTGTTATGCATTTATTATGTATGATTTGTATTTGTTGTTAGCAGCTACCCGGCACCAAGTAGTAAGTGTGTGTGTGTGTTAAATGTGTGAGTGTGTCTGTGTGTGTGTGTGTGTGCATGTTGTGTGTAGTATTAGCTGGGCGTAACTGTAGTTGCAACTACTACTCACCACGCTGTATAACGGGACTGGGCTGTTGCAGCAACGTTGCCAGACCATGATAAATGGCACCCTGCTTCGCCACCTCCAAACTGACAACGGGACCCGTGCGCACCAAGTAATCAGCGGCACTGTGAAAAACAATAACATAAACTAATTAAATTGAGTGTACAAAAGATACCCTGTATAAGAAATAATAATAAGATAATATAAGAATAAAATAAACTAATTAAATTGAGTATACAAAAGATACGCTTTACCCTTTGCAATAGTTAAATCTTAAGGAATCAGTTAAAAAAAAATATATATATATTAGTGATTTAAGTATCTTATCTGCAGGCAGACCAAAATATAAAATCATGTTTGTTTTAAGATAACAAATTAAATATTTTAAGCTACAATAGTCATTTTTGTACAGAAAAATGGTTGAAATTTAGCTTTACGGTTTACTTAGTTGTAATAATCTCTGAGCTATGCTTTTGATACCAACATTTTATTCTAGTACTGCGTATATAACAACTATAACTCATTTACAAGGGAGAGGCACAATAGACTCAATGGGTCGCAGCCATAATAAATACTAATAATGAATCCTCATTCAAAATTGAAATATATAGTCTTTCGTGCAGTGTATCAAATCGACAATTTCATAGAGAGACGGACGGACAGACAGGCAAACATATCTATACACTCAGCTCGTCGTCTGCCATTTGTTATTCATTTTCATTGTGTATATATAATAATACAATAATAATAATAATGATGATAATAATAACAATAATAATAATAATAATATTACAATATATCATTTATCTTACCGCTCCTGTGTTATGCCAATCAGGCTCTGTCCGTCGACGCGCAGCAGCTGATCACCCGCTTGCAGACGTCCGTCCGCATCGGCAGCGCCGCCGGGCACAACACTCTTTATGTAAATGCCCAGTCGCTCCTGGCCAGCGCCTTTGGCGGCCACTATGGACAGACCCATGCCGTTGCTGTTCTTGTGCAGCTTTATCAGCTGCATCTCCGGCTGGGGCAACTTGTTGGACATGGAGCTAGAGCTGCGTGCCTGTCAGTTGAATAGATTTAATAAAATAAAGTTATTAACAAAACAAAAATAATCACTTTAAATGCATTTTGTACAGCCCTGAATATGAATTCCGACGGGATATGAAATATATCGGAGAATAATAATTAAATAATGCTCAAATTTGCTTTGTTAATGACATATGACAATTAGTGAAAATGCATATTTAAATTCTTAAATACTTAAATGCTTAAAACAGCGTGTTGTTTTCACAATCATATAAAACGACAATTATTATCATGATTTAATCATTAAATGTAATGTAATCAAATGTAAAAACTATGGGCAACAATAAGAAAAACGAGAAAGCTTTGAAAAGGAGACAATTTAAAAATGAAAGCAATATTAATTCAGAACACATTTAAATCAATCCCAAATTTGTTGACTATGTTTTTAGCATTTAAAACGTCTATATAACGACTCAATTCCAGCACTCACATTGAATTGATGCATGTAAACTGTCCAGAGTCCAATCGATGTGGGCTGGGCGGCTAGTCGGCACATGCCCTGCTGCTGCAGGGGATTAAGAAAGTCGACCAATCCGGTGGGTATGCCGCGCACCACATCACAGCTGAAGCCATCGTCGGGAAGCAGCAGCGCCAAATGCAGTTCGGGTGATTCCTCCAGACGCACCTCGCGTCCATCGGCCCGCGTTAGTTCATCGGCCACAGATTCGGCCATGCGTATGGCTGTATCGACGAGATTGCGCGGAATCTTCTCCTGCTGCAGCAATGCGCCCATTTGCAGCGAGTTGAGCCGAAAACAGGAGCAGGCCAATTGTTGAATCTCCTCCACCGATGATTTGGGCGCCTGCAGAAACTGCGCACACTGATTAATCTTGGCCAGATGACAATCGGCGGCCAGCTCTAGACCCTGACGTTCAGCCCACAGTTCCAGCAGCTGCAAGCGCTCCGTCATCACCTTGCCCCACTCCCCGGTGCACATGTGCGAGTTGGCCACAATCTGCAAAAGTGAAAGGAATATTTAGGAATATACCAGAAATTCAATTTAAATAAAATAAGAATGAGCTCTGCATGGGTTTAGAAATTGGGTATAAATTCAACCTGTCAATCGCCGCTCACCGTATTGAAACATATGACATTGATGTAGTGGAACAGCTGCGAGAACAGCTGAATGGTCAAGGCGGCATTCACACGACAGCGCCGCAGCAGAGCCATGGCCGAGCCGAGAACTGTGAGCACCAGACCCGCCGCCGAATCATGATCAATGGTCTCCGATAGGAATTGATTCAGCGTCTGCGACAATTCGAGACGAAAGCAATTGACCAGATTACGAAATGCTGTCTGCACCGCCTCGGCGAGCACCTCCTGCGCCTGGACACTGAATGCGCTGATGTGTCGATCCGATTTGAGGAAATGCAAAAATTCCGAACTGTTTGCCATCCAAAATGCGAGAATGCGGGGATCTGTGTACTGCTCCTGGACGACGCCATAGACCAGATTCGCCACATGATGCAGGAATATGGTCAGCTTGTGGGCGCGCTCCGTCGGCTGCAGTTCTGGACGGTAATGGGTGGACGCCCGATATCTGCAATGAAATTATCAATTCAACTTTAATCAGCTGTTCAACTTAATACATTTATTGATTTGTATTTTAATTATGTATGCTCTACATCTTCGTTGGCCTTGCAACAGTCAAAAGGCTTCCAGACGACGACTGCTTTGTAATTTGCCGCTGTCGAGGCATTAATATTAATAGCTAACAAATTGGGTCAGCAGCCAAGATAAATCATCGTAATTGGTAATGAATAGTTGATATTGGCCAGAACACAACTGGGAATTTGTACAGATGAAGCTGTAAAAGCTCAGCTCTTCAGTCTGCGTGCTGCTCAAGTCAACCCAACAAACATTTATCAGCTGCTAAGAGCTGAGTTGAGTCTACTTAACCGTAAGTCATGCGGGAGCACTGATTTTTAGCGCAGCTGAATAAATATATTCTCCTGCAAATGGAAGCACTAAGCAGCAAAATGAATACTTTTGACTGCAAGTTAAAGCAAATAAGCTTAAATAATGCAGACGGATTTTTAAAGTAGAATAATAACTCGAAATAAAACTATTGGATTTTATTTATATAATATATTTTGTAAATCTATTTTTGATATTCTTTAAATACTTCATCGTCATTTAAAGTTGTCAAATATTTTCAGTTAAAGTAAAGTTGATAAATTTATAGCAAATAAAGTCTTGAAATAAGCAGCCAGTCTTTAAAAGCTATACACATCAAGCTCAAACTGATTCAAATTAAATTTCAGCTAAGCAAAAGGCAATAAATCATTTTAAAGAGTGTTAAATTTGAACAGGTGGCCAGGCAGTAAAAGTAGACAATTCAAGCTCAACGTTATCCTAGTGAAATATTTCAACTAAACAAACTGAAACTAAAATGTATTGCATCTGGCATAGTGTTAATCTTAAAGTTATCCTGAGTTTATACTTGCTTAGTAAATAAATGTAGCACACTTAAAAGCCAAAGAGTCAGGCAGTCGTGCAACATCGAAAGCAGCCAAGCAGTTCAGTTTTGGGCAAGTTAGTCAGGTTTTGGTTACTCACCTGGCACATAGATAGAGGGAATAGACTGGCGCCAGTTTAAAGTGGGGCACATTCACATCCAATTCGCTGATGATGTGACGCAGAAAGTGCTCCTGATGCGTCTCGGGAAACTCCAGAACGGCGGGCAGTATTGGCTCCTGGCCCTGGCCATCACCAGACCCACCGGCACCAGACAAAAGGCCACTCGAGCCGGGCAACTTTGGCGATCTGAAGCGTCAAGTCCGTGTGTGGGTTTAAGGTTAAGTTAATTAAATTATGTTGATTAGTTGATGCGGTATTTTTAATGGCCAACAAGAGCAAAGCAAAATGTTGCAAAACTTAACGCAAACTTAACATTTAAAGCGCACACAAACGAAAAGAGCATATAAATCAAATGATACATATAGAAAATGTGTGCATGTGTGTAGGAGTGTGTAGGTGTGTGTGTGTTGGTGTCTGAGTGTGTGGGAGAATTTTTGTGTGTTTTCTTGGTATTATTTTGCTGCATTAAGAGATTTAGTTGTTGAAACCCTCAAGAGTCCATTGTCAACAGAGTGAGTAAGTGCTTTCTTACCTGTCCTGACTGTTAGAGCCATTGGATTTCATGCTCGATATGGATTTGATTTCATTCTCCAGATTACCTTCAAGACTCTGACCATCATAGTTGCTTGTTGCCTGTTGCTGTTGTTGTTGCTGTTGTTGTTGCTGCTGCTGTTGCTGTTGTTGCTGCTGTTGTTGCTCCTGGCTGCCACCGCAATGTTTGCTGTCCACCGCATCTCGCATCGAGTTAAGCGCTTGCGTCTCTGTGGTGTTGTTGTGGAAACCGCCCGAGGATTGATTCAGCTGCTGATGCTGCTCATATTCGCTCTTCTGCGTCTGCATGGGAACAGAACAATAGATAGTTGCTTGTCTCCAGTGCTGTCTCTGCCTCGCTATATACTCTATACTATATGATTTAAACTGAACTCACCGAACTGAGTGCGCCATCCTCATCGTTCCAGGAACCAGGCGATGTTGGCGACCGACTAAAGTTCCGTTCATTGTTGTTGTTGTTGTTTATTCGTTGGTTATTTTATTGTGTGTGTAAAATGTTGTTTTTTGTTTTTGTTTTTGTTGTTGTGGTAGTGTGTTGTGTGGTGAAATTTGTTTTGCATATTTGTTGTTTGGCGAGTGCATGAACGAATTAATGTTGTACACAAACAATAAAAAACAAACAGCACGTTACGAACGAACGAACAAATAAAGCCACAAACAAAGGCGTGAACATAAAAATATAAAAATAAAAAAAAATATATATATAAAGTAAAATAAAAAAAAAAAACTATATATGTTAGCATAAATATGATTTTGCGCACAAAACAATAGTATTAAATCCAGCATTTAGCTGAAAATTTAAAATGCCTTGCAAAATCTTGCTATTTATTGGGGAATAACAACATTTATGTATTTATTTAAAATATTGCTGAGTGTTTTTTATTTATTATATGCTGGGCATTTATTGTCTTCTAATTGTGAGTCCAATATGGACATCTTTAATTCTTTGGATAGATACGAGAAACGATATAGGTTTGCTCTCAGGTTAAGAAACGTTTCCCTATTTTTCAAAATTATTTTAATACCATTTAAGAGACCATTGATCAGTGAAGTTATATTACAAATAGTAAATGTTGGTTTTATTGAGGTACAAATTGCACTTTAAGCTATTATCTTTAAACAACTATACATTAATCTGTACTTTTTGTTTGGCTTTTTCTCTTTAATAGAATACTTTTTCTAGCAATCAATCTTCAATTTTATTTACTCGAATTTTGATCCAATATTCGAAATTGAGATATCAAACTTATGGCCGCCAACGCCCAATGATAAACACAGCAATATTTTAGCTCGAACCTTAAATTGTTTTAGCATTAAATAAACGTATTCAAATCCAACACAATACGACACAAATACAAAAGAATATAAAAAAAAAAACAAATGAAATTCGCAGACAAAGCGCAGCATTTATAGCACAATAAAATATCTGCGCAACAATGCGAAAATAATTAAATTAGCACTCCACACTCACCTTTCGTAGAGGCAGGCCGAGTCCAGCTGGGATTGCGACAGAGCCAAATTATAGCGTCCATCTGTGGGTGAGTCCAGGAAGCGATAGGAGGCCACTCGTCCGAACATGACAACAGAGCCGTTCTGCAGAAAAGAGACGAAAAATGCAATTACATTAATAATAAATGAATATGATTCCATTAAAGGATTTAATTAATGCGTGCATTAAGGCATTTCAATTACATTATACAATTGAACTATTTATATTTTAATTGTGCCCAATTTACATATTTCACAAGGGGACGACGACGACGACGACGAGTCGATCGCAGCATGCGTGCTCAATGAACGATTCTGGGGCACTGAGACGATTGGAAAATTTCGATTGGAAAAAATGTGGGGCGTTTCGAAATTGGTCACAGTGTCATCGTCGATAGAGACGCCCCCTTTCCAAATTCTACAGAAGAAGAGTTCTACGCAATGCGGCATATACAACACGGCAATCAAAATTGCCGAATATTCTATGAAATCCGTTAAAATCTGTAGGCCTATTTATAAAATGATAAAGAGTTCGATTTAAAACTGAAACACAATTCACAAATAAATATGTAGAAAGGAATAGAAAAGTTTATATATTATTGTACTTCATATTTTTCTATTGTAAGTATTCATTTCGTATACACTGTATAGTTATATAGTATAGAGCATCCCGCAGTCGATCAACAGCATTTACACACTTTGTTCTTTCATTCATGGAAATTGTAGTCAACATTTCCAAACTGATTCTGTTTGACTTATTTTCAAATTCTACACACACGCAAAACGGTTGGTTTTCGATTAGCGAAATTTTCGTTATTGTGTTTTTTGTGAATATTTTTTGTTTGGGTTCATTGAACCGCAACCAGACCCAATTTGCCAACTGAATGCAAGAACAGAAATTTATAATAAAAGATAGCTAGAGCACAACAAACAAAAACTACAAACGTCTAAATAAATTTTGTTCACTAAATTACACAAAATGTATATCTGCGATGCTCTGCCGTCTCCGCGCGCTCCCCTCTCTCCCCCTCTGGCTGAAAGTCTCTGGAGACAGTTTGATGTTATTGCCCAGCATTTTGAGGCTTATCTCGAGTGGAGAGCAGAAGGGGATTTGTTGGAGGTCGGTGGCTAAAGTTTGCTTTTGTTTATTTGGTTTCGAATTCATCAAGCGGAAAGTCAGAAAAGTTTTTACAGTGCCTCAGTACTCAGTTCGTTGTTGTTGTCGTTGGTTGTCGTTGTTGGTTGTGCATTTTGCCAAATGCGTGAGAACGCAGAGTCAACTTTATTCACTGTTGTTGTTCTTGCTGGTGTTGTTGTTCTTGCTGGTGTTGTTGTTGTTGTTGTTGTTGTTACTGGTGTTGTTGTTGTTTCGGTTTGTTTATGTTGTGCGCTGTGTGCGTTGAAAAGTTGTCAAAACAAAAGATAAATCAACTGCGCCCCGAAGTTTGCGGAGTGCCGCAATGAGCACATAAAACTCAAGCTCTGCAGCTTCTCGTCGGGGGCAGACAGGAGAAGGAGGAGATAGACCGCTAAACAACTCAAACTGCTGATGATAATGAACTTGACTGAGTACAGAATGTGTAGGCAGTCAAAATAATTTGGAACATTTGATTATCTACTCTGGCTCAGTGAAAGATCGTCAACTGAATGGCCAAAAGTCATGTCATTGTAATTTGTCATTTCAAAAGATAAATTACAGTTTAAATGAGAGCTGTCACAAAATTAGAATAATAATATTGCAATGAATTAGATGCCTTGACATCAAATGTGTTTTTTGTTAACCACATTTGTCTTTCCTATCCGATCTTGATGCAATTTGTTCAGTTGATCATTAATATGTCAGGGTATATTTATCTATTTTAATCTTTTCATTCGAAGAAACTCTAGAAATCGGAATATTAATTTTCAAAGTTTTAAATGGCTGCAATATTTTTGTTTTTTACATTTTCTTTTGTATCCTTTGGTTGAAGTCTTAAAGTTTATTATATATGGATTTAATGGATATTAATAATACTTTAATTTTATATTTATATCTTCCACTTTCTATCGAATCTTACTAAAGTTAATAATATTAAATTTTATTCTCGGATAAAGTGGTTTTCAAATTACGATTTCCAGATTAGATTCAAGTCTGTATGCTCAGTCATTTCACATCCGCTGTTCTTAATCGTGTCAATAACATTATTTTGAAGTACATATCCCATTTCAGTACACACTGGGTCAAAAATATAGTTACATATTTGTAACTTGACACACTTGGCAGACATCAAATGTATAATAATTAGACAAACTTTTAGAACAATTGTATTACAATTTCAGGATTGCAATAATATAGATTATAATTATTAATTACAAATTAATTAACTGAAATGAAATAGTTAATCAAAAAAAAAGAGGCAATTTGGACCCAGTGTGCGTAAGTGGTACTTATTAACGCATTTTCCGTTTACTCCACTTAAGAGGACATCTCCTAAATGAGTGTCGTCTCAACATGTCACCAGCTGCCACTTAGCAGCGGAAGGCTTTTACAATAACAAATTGACGCACTTTCGGCTTACACTTTGCTGATATTTGGCTAGCAATCTCTTCGGAGCTTCCTTTAGTAGCGTTATCTTCTTGTCATTACACTTGTATGTCGTATGTAATATGGAGCAATCAAATGCGAGAGAAGCCTGCTGCAAATGTGAAATGGAATTGCGTGACAAATTCCAACAGACAAACAGTCAAAAGCAAACAGGAACACACACAAACACACACAAACACACACACACACTCACACACAGGATGCAGGCAACCAAAACAAAAATAAACTTTGACTGGGTCAAGGTTGACAACGCTGAGAGGAAAACTTTTGACACAAATAAATTGCGTGCAATTTCTGGGCCAAAGCGAATTCGTACAGCTAATGAATACAAATGACAATTTGTTAGACTTGTAATTAGTGGTGACCTTCATGGTCAGCACAAATAAATAAAATTAGAAAGTTTTGCTAAGAAATCTGCATTCATTAAGGATTTCTCTTCTTTTATTTTTGAAAAATAATAGAGAGTGGTTCCCAAAAGGAAAATTAGTAATACAAGTGTAACTAGCTAAAGATAAAGATAGATAAAGAAACTCTTCACTTCTTCTATATCAATTCAATTCGCCAGATTATGACATACAAATGTGCTGACTACAATAAAGGGACTAAGGGAATACAGTCCCGAGTCGGTGAGTGAGGCCGATTACAAATGTATATATACTTATATATAGAATTCATAGATATAAAAAGTTCGACTCACATGTAGAATGGTCGGCTGGCTAATGTGATGTCCGTTGACAAAGGTCAGGGCATCTGTGTGCAGCGGCGTCACTGTGCAGACACCTTCGTGCAACGAGATGAGGCAGTGCCTCGGCTGTATGCTCGGTCCAAACAATTGCAGGCAATTCGTGTTTGCCGAGCCAACCTCGACCGGATCGCTGCCGAGCTTGATGCGACGTCCGCCATCGCCGCTGTGCGTCACCTCGACCAGGACGGGTCCCTCGCGATCGCCGGACATGTGATTCGCACCATTTGCGGCGCCCAACGGTTTTTTCTTGCGTCGGCGCGGCTGCGAATCAGCCGGACGGCGTCGCACATGAAACATGATGGAACCTGCAACATAAATTGAGAGAAAACCGTGTTAAAAATGCCATTAAAATATATATATAGCTTTATTTCTATTTATTCTTGCCAGTACAACGCGTCAGCCTATCAACTATATGCTGCAGCCTTTTTGCTACGAATCTCGCCAAAAAATGAGAAAATGAGCACAACCCGTATGTTGCCCCAGCAGCAGCAGCCTCTGACACGCCACAAAGCACAAATGTTGCCCCCATAAAATGCAAATATGCTTAATGTACAATAGCAACGGAGTAGACAGACACTGATGGCAACGTAAATTGGGTAAGGTGCTTCTTAGTAGTTGAGAATATCGTGTGAACCTACTTAAAGAAAGCAAATATATCACATCTATTTATATTTCAAGTTTACAAAAATCATTTGTATAGATTAAAATGTAAACATTTTCTGAAATTAATGAATATTTTAAGATATTTATTTTTTATTTGCTGGACGCCAAAATTAACCAATAAAATAAAACAAAACAAGCAACGAAATTAATCAACCAAATACAATAATTTTGTAATTAAATAAATTAATCTTGTATTAAAAATAAACGCTATATTTTCAAACGAAAAATAAAGTTCAACACTTGGTTAATAAAATTGTTAAATTACTTTAATTTGTTCATATTTTAAGTATCGTTTTTGTATTTCAGATTTAAAACAAGAGGCAAGAAAACTGTCCAGTCTCATATTTCTTATGGTATTCATACATTATACATAATTTTATTAAGGTTTTAACTTTTAAGATCGCTAAATGTTTAACAACCAGTTCACTTTATGTTTGCTTAAGAAATAACACTGTGAAAACACTATACGATTATTGTTGGAAGCAATCTCGAGTTCATTCAACCGTATTGTGCGAACCAGGCACACTAATGCCAGCCAGCACTGTTCAGTTGCAGCGTTGCACAGCTCATCTCGCATGAAATCAAACTAATTTTGTGGCAATCACTTCGTATCGCAATCGCCTGCCCAAATAGAAATTCGAACAAAATCAAATTCAGGCTTCATCAAATTTTGGAGCAAATTTACAATAAAACAGAACTATAAGTCTGTCACTCTGGTAAACGTGGAAAGGAGCAAGGCTCTGACAGGGTGACAGACATCCCAACTGTTGTCAGTTTCTAGCTGTGTATGATATGAAATTCCAATATTTATGTAGCAGTGTTGGCAAACTCGGCAGCTGCATAGTTTGCTTTGATTTGCTTTGTTTTGCTTCTCGCTTGTTGTGGCATTGTACAGAATGTTAAACGAACCATGCAAAATATGATGCCAGAGTGCGCTGGTTGCCCCCATCCACTGACAACAAATGCACATACAGTAGCTATATAGTTTTGGGCGAGCCAGAATGCAAAATGCATCGTAAAACGAGCGAGAATAGAAGGGAACTTGAGATGCAAATGGTAGACTGGCAGCCCGAATAGCAAACGGGGGCGGGGAGTGTTTTGCAAAAGGGCGGCGTTGGGTAATCTTCTGGCTGCATTCGACATGCCCCACGTCGAACAACAAAACAAAAATAAAAAAAATGAAACTTATTAAAAATTAAAGTGAACTCAACTCAACTGAAAGTCGGAACGTGAGCACAGGGCGTATGTGCAATGTGGAAATTGGATTTTTCGCTAGGGAAAAACTCGAAGTGCTTTCAAAACCAAAAAAAAATGGAGTAATAAACAAAAATAGTAATAAAAAAAATAGCGAACACACTAAACAACAACAACAAGAATATTAACAACAATAAACATTGTGTCAAATACCTTTTTTGTACAACCAAAAGAACCACATTTGTCATATATATTCACATATAAATATATACATTTGTTTAGTTGTTTGTGTCAATATTTTTCAGCAGATTAAAAATATCATATTAGTTTGTTGTTTGATTTAACACTTTAAAGCACTGGCGCAACTTTTGTTAGATGTAGAAAAAAGTTTACACAAACAGAAGAAAAGAATTTAAAAGATCGAAAGTAAAGCATAAACCAAGCTTGTTTAAATTCATAACGATTTTAAATAAATGTATAAAGAAGCTAATAATATAAATAATTCTATCTAAATACGTAATTTTATCTTTGCAGAAGAGGTGAAATATGAAATAGTCCTTTTTCACATCTTGTTTGGTAATGCTGACAACTTTTTATATATAACATATACAAAAAAAAAATTGTCAGCAATATATATTTTTTTTATAACATATGCAAAAAAAAAAATTGTCAGCATTACAGAACAGGATATAAAGAAGGACTTTTAATAATGGCTTATCGATCTTAATCGTATTTAATCGTTTGAGCTTACTATCAAAATTCAGCGGCTGAAGAAACACCGAGAAATAACCAGCAAGATCGGAAGATTTAATACCGCAGAACTATTTTCTTTGAAAATTTAAAACAGAACAAACCAATGTAAACTGATATCTTGTTTTAAGTTTTAAATGGCATTGAATTATATTTCAATTAAAAGTTGTTGATAGTTTCTTCTTTCAATTAAAAATTGTTAATAGTTGCTTGGGCTTAACACATTTCATTTCAGTAAATTTTAAAGTTGGAGCATTCTTAGCTGCAGAATCTTTGGAAAAAGCTTTATAGCTCTCTTTCATTAATTTATGTTACACGAAACTACGTCTGATTGCTTTCGAATGCTTATTCACTTAATGAAATATCCGTGACTGTTATTTATGGCCAAGCGATGCCCAGTTTCACTTGCAAATTGTAAATCAATCAACAAATCGAGAGACCGAAAGGCAGACAGATAGACAGGCAGACAGACAAACAGACTGGCCACAGCAGTTGGCGTTAAATGGCAAAGGCTCATCTGACTCATTTTGCATGCATGAGCAGGTGTCGGGCACCTTACACTCTCTCATACACACGCACACACACACACGAGCGCAAACAGGATGTGGTCCCATAAGGAGAGTAAATGCATAGCTGATGTTGATGTTGTCAATAACAGTTGCCCCCCTGTTCGTCCCTCTGCTCTATATGGCGCTTTTGTGTATGTCACTCACATAAAATCATTTGGAATTTATTGATTAATATTTTAACTCATTTACACAGGAGATTTATATATTATAAAAATAATTAATTCAATAAATTCAAATAGGTTGCATTAATATTTACATTGGAATTAAAATACATTTAATTATAATGATGATTAAAATATCATATTTTAATAATTTCAATTTATGAGATCTCAAATTAAGCACTTCAGCTATCAAAAAGAAGACCAAATTCTTAATTGAGTAACTGTATTTGTTGACATTTGAAAAATAAGGTCAGCTGCAGCATAAAGAGAAATGAGTTTGGGAGATGTTAAGAAAGTGAAGCAGAAGAAAAACAAATTTAAAAACGAAAATCATTTTGATTGTTTAGACCGGGCCAAAAGTATGCCAAAGGTAGCAGCCATGACAACACATTTCACACTCATACACGGACTCAGTGTTGACAGTGGAGATTTTACACAGGCACAGAGCACAATAGAAAGCAAAAATGTCTGCGAGCCATGAAATTGATTTGGTCAACAACGTGTCGGTGTCATGTGTGTAAATTGGAGCTATGTGTGTGTGTGCGTGTGTGTGTGCTGCATTGTGTGGGTTACGTGCATAAGTGTGCATAAATTGGCAACAGAACGAAATCAGCAAAAATGTTGTGCAATGCCAAAGCTGAAAACAATGCAAAAAATCCAGCAAAGGAGACGTTGCGAGCAAATTGTATAACGAGCTGATTGAGTTAACTGACATGCCCTTCTCCACCAACACTACCACCCCCTCCACTGCTATCGCTGGATAGGTATGCCACAGGCATGCGGCATGTGGCCACACAATCCTTTCTGCTCGCGTGTGATATGAAAGTGACTACATTAATTTATATTAACCCAGATTGTTTTTCCATTTTTTCTTCAGTGTTCTTTTGTATTTTTTTCCAGAAGACAAAATTATTTGAATGGATTGTAGAGTTAAAGAAGTAAGAAGTAAGCTCGATTTGGAAGTAATCTGAACCCAGTTTTTAAATACATAGTCAGTTTGCTGATATTAGTTTGTTCAATATGAAAATAGGTTTTGTATAATAAAATCTGTTTTACGGGTATGTTATGTATCAAATTGAATGCTATATCTTTACAATTGAGTGTCGGAATTCGATTCATATCGATATTATATGATGAAGATGATGAAGATTATCGTTTTTATTTTTATCTTTACTCTAATAAACTTATTTGATTTTTTGATGTTTGTATGTTTTTATATTTCTTAATTAAAAAGTTGCATTTGAATACAACAATTATAAAGTAATGAAAAGCAACTTTAAGAGTTACCATTACTTTACCACAGTAATTTGAATATGTAGATACTGCCATCAGTTACAGCTGAAAAGTGTCTGGCAAAGAAATGTAATCAAAAGTAATTTAAATAAAGTTGCCTTTTGATGACTCAACTTGGTCAGTCTGCTATTTGTTTAACCTAATTGAGTGAGATTGATATTCAGAATCGGAGACCCTTAGTCAAATTAGACAAATTAGCCGTGAAGCAGGGCAAAGTTTTTGATTTTGGGCAACAAGCAAGCAAGTTGAATATGGCTGTGGAGCTATTTCATTTAACAGGACCAACACACAAGACACACCCCAAAAGACAAGGTCAGCTGGCTACTTAAGTAGTCGCAGTCATGAAAAACACAAACACCCTCAAGTTGTGCCTCCTGTTGTGAAAATTAAAAAAATTAAATTTTAATGAGCCAAGTTTGCTGTTTAATCCACTGTTAAAGCTGGGGCTCACAAAGCCATTTAAATTGGTCCTGAAGTCAACATCTAAGCAGAATTTAGATTGCAGCTTGGATGAAAATTAAGAACATTTAATTCAGGCGAGTTGTCTTCTTTTTTTTTGAGAATATTGTATTTAAAGCTTCATATTTTATATATATATATATATATGTATATATATATTATATTATATGTTATACAACACAAACCACTATTAGATAATGGAACATTTTTCTGATAGTATCGATTTCATTTTATGCATGAAATCTGTCAGCATTTGATTTATAGGTCATTAAATAAGCTTTGCCATATAAACTTGTATGGACATAAATAAAAGCTTCAGTAAAATTATCGATATTCGAATTAATAATGGTTTGGTGTGCATTATTATACAATACTTTAAATTCTGTGGAGTTTTGCAAATGATAATGATTACAAATTCAAATTGTTTATAAATTAGACACATTTCTAATGTGATATTATTGAGAGTTGAACTGATTTGTTCGGGGATAATGCGAAATTTTGCTTGTTTTAGTTCTTTTAGCTTGTTTATATCTCACTTTATCTGTTATTTTCTAAGACATCTCCTTAAACTGTCAGTAATAACACATGTCTATTAATGACGACCATTGAGTGATTTGCTTAATTTACCGGATTTTTTTGTATTCAGTTTGCCAAAATCAATAGCAACTGTCTGGCCGAGCAGCACAATCCATGAATCACTTTAAGAATCTGGCAAGAATCATTTAATATACATATGTACAAAGCATACATAATGTGATACCTAAAGAAATCCTTGCAGCAAATCGAATTACGAAGCTATCAAAAGCGACGATGATACCAGGACCTGTATCCCCTCATTCCGGCAAAGCAACTACAACAATGGCAAAAATCTTGTCTGGTCCCCAAAATGGGAGCGTCGCTTTTGTGTTTGGGGCTATTCAGTCAAGTGCTGCCCCAGGCGGTTATCAACAATTTTGCTAGACAATTTGGCAGCCGAAACAGAAACAATAAAAATATAATTGCCACACTTAAAGGAGAAGAAAAGCACAAAGCAGAAAGCAACAGTCAAAAGGAGAAATGCTCAAGGGCAACGCAACGGAAAATTAATGAAAGATTGTTGCACAGAGTATAGTTAGAAGATTATTCAATTTTCCTTCCTCTTCTTTATGTTTTAAAATGATGACATTAAAAGATACGAATCATAAAAGCAAATTTTACGAGCTTCAATCAGCATAAAGGCAAAACCCTTTGCATTGTTCTGTAGATCGAATCAGGCAAAAAAAAAAAAGAAAAAAGAAACAATTCGGCTTCATGCCGAATACTTTTCTGTTGTCATAACTTACGAAATTTATTGATTTTTGTCTGTTTGTTTTGGCCGGGCCATAGACGGATTAAAAAAAAACTCAGTTGTTGGAAGTATAATTTTTTTATTGTTTTTTTTTATTATTATTTTGTCCCTTCTACATGCATGTATCGCGCAATATATAAAATGCCATTTTATTATATGTATATATACCATATATGGCCTTTGAGAATTAATGGCCCGGGCTAACTCTCCTGTTGCCCTTTTTTTATTTTAGCCAGCATGTTATGCGCTATGAGCCATGACAGCAGTGCCAAATAAAAGGTATGGCAAAAAAGCTAGTGAAAATTCAATTTACACGCAGAGGAATGTAAAATAAAAATAAGAATACAAAAAGCACATCGGGCACAATGAAATTTAAATTAAACTCAAAATCAAGTTGATGCCGCACAAAAACAAGAAATTCAATTTAATTAAATTGCAATCAAATTGAAAGCTGATTTTACACACAGACACACACACACACACACACAGACACAAACACACACACACTTTTTGAACACTTTTTGCGAGAGTTGGCAGGCGAAAAGATTTTGACTTTAATAAATTATTTGTATATGTATTATTTTTTATTTGATTTCTTTTTTATCGAATGACTAACCGTCGAGCTAAGCTGCTGCTGCTGCTGCTTTAGCTGCTGGCCGAGGTGGCCACAACAATGCGTTGACACAGCGCAAGGATAACTGAGAACTGAGCACTGAGCAGCCAGCAGCGCGCATTTCCAACACTGAGCACAGCAAGCACACGGAGCGTATGAGCAACGCGCTGACTGACTGTGAGTCGCGTACTGACTAGCAAACAGACAGACGGACAGACGGCCAAACTGAGCGACAGACTCACACAGTCAATGAATGAATGAAATAACGAACAAAAAAATAAACAGCACACTGTGTGTGTGTAGGTGTGTGTGTTGGTGTGTGTGTGTGTAATATAACATTAAGTTTACACTGCATTCAATGTGTGTGTTGCTTGCGTGTTTGTGTGTTTGTTGTATGCTGTGTGTGTGCTTAAGTGCGTTTGCCACAAAGTTACTGTATGCGTGTAACAGGACGCAAAACACACAAATACACAAAACACCGACAGACACAGACACACACACACACACACACACACATAGACGAACACACACCTCGGTGGCATGCAGCCAGGACAGCTAAATAAATGCCCTATGTCTAGGGAGCGGTCAAGGTTAGATTATAAATGATAGGATAAACTGTGCTTTGGTTCAGTTTCGTGTAATTTGAATATGCAGCTTAAAGCTACAAAGCTTTAAGTTCAGCACTGCTGGGAATGATAATAAAGAAAGTTATCGATACACGCGCTGTTGAAAAACATTTATCGATAGATCAATGCAGGTTATCGTTTTATCACACACTCTTTGGTCTTATCGAGTGATCATGGAAGTTTATTTTACTTTTCTGTATATTTCCGTTCATTTAACATTGATCTAATTTTTATAGATCCACAACAACAATGTTTAGGCATGTTATTGAAAATGAAAATAATACAATTTTCGATATTCTTTTTATATATTTATTTTCAACGTATCGATACCTTATTCAGTCAATCAACGAGTATTTCTAAAGATTCGATATTTCAAAGTATCGAAAAGTAATTCCAAATGTGCTTTAAATATATCATATGTAAATATTTACATTATTCAATATTGTTTTTATAAACTTTTAAATATTATCTGGTCCTATCTTTATTTTAAACTATTGCACAATTCAATTCACAATCGTCTTTCATTATATTGAAATATTAAAAAGCTCATGCAATTAATGATTAATTGAATGATTTTAATCAAATATACTTTAACAATTTATCATAAAGAAATATACTAGAGTTAATATAGAGTTAGTCCATATAAATTATTAATCATAAGTTGATTGAGCTACCTAGAGAAACTATCAACTATCAATTCTTGTCTGGCCATCGTGTTGAGATATATTCATGCACAAACATTTACAGACGCGTACACCTCTCTTGATAAGAGCGCATAAATCAAGCTGAGCATATCATCATCATCATAATTTGACGCTCGACTCGCACAATCGATATACCCCAGCCCTGTAGAGCTGTAAACCCCAGCAGCGCCAAGGAAATACAAAGTAAATTCGGCAACAATAGAGATGTCTGTTTCTGAGTTAGTATGCGGGTGTCTATTCGTGTATGTGTGAGTGTAAGTGTGTGTGAGTGTTCGAGTGTGTGTTTGTGTGCACATAAAATCTTGAGATGTATGTATTCTTGAAGCTACTTTTCAGCTAACGAGCTTCGCTCAGTAAACGTCTTTACTGTTGGCCAACTTGCACTTGAGTTGTTTTCCGTTAAAAAAAAAAAACAAAAACAAAAACAAAAATGGACGAGTGAGTTTACGTCTGCCCCTTCCACAATCTGGGCTTGTACGAGAGTGTATATTAAAAATGTGCAATAAACTGCGCACTTAACTTCAAAACCATTTTGTTTTATTACACGCAGTCAAACAGCAGTCAAATCAAAGCGTTTCAACAAATTGCTGGCTCAAAATAAAAACTAGTAGTTCAAAGAGTTTAACATAAAAAATGTATTATTTGAAAGCATTTTTTTTTTAAATACGTTTGGAGACCTAGAACACACAAGACTGCAAATTATTTGGCTTTAGTTTAGACTTCAGCATTTAATTTTAATATATTTAGTTTATTGAGTTTTTGTCCATTTTTGTGTCATCTTTCAATACCATAAACAAATCAACCATATAAGAAACCTATTTAATATAATGTTTATAACAAATTATTGTGAATAATAGAATTTTTAAATATTATTGTATAAATCTATGCTTAATTTCTTTGCATAGAAAAATAAACCGTTTCGAAATTATATTTAAATTCCTAATATAAATCTCCTATAAAACCGAAGATTTTTAATATTTAAGTTAGTTTTCAATGTATACAATAGACGACCCCCTATAAAGTAAGGGGGCCTTTTTCCAAAAATTCCGAAAGCTAATCACGAGATGATCAGCAAACGGGGGCTGATGTTAATATCATTGGTGTCAGCAGCAATGTCCTCACTATACGTTCATTGGACATTTCTGCTCCCCAAGACAAGGAAGGTCGATTGCTGGCAAGTTGCGGCAACTCAAGCAGCCGTCGCTTGAACCGTTTGCGAATTCCAAGCGCAAAAAGCTCACAAATTGGTGCAAGAAACTGTTGCCTACTACCTGGGGTAAGCTGATCGTGTGATCCTTGCAATAATCGAGGAATTGCATTCCAAAGGATTGGAATTGCATTCCAAAGGATTGGACCAAAAACCGGTTTCTACAACCCTTTAAAAATCAGACACAAAAGTAGCAGTCTTTTTTGCAGAAACCAGTTTTTTCACAACTTTGGATGCGGTTGGCTGGACCAAAAAGAAACAACCCCTAATTGAATGCTCTAGTCGAAAGAGATCGACAAGAAAATACGTTTTGGTTAAAAACATCTCAGTTTCTTATTCTAACTTTTATAGTTGATTTTTACTTAAGTAAGGCTATTTCATATATCAATTGGAAGGCTATATCTTTAAAATTCTGACTTTTATAGCTATCGGAAATCGATTTACATCGATATGCATTAAACGGCAAGAAACTATATTCAAATATTGTATATTCGCGAACTCTCAGGAATATATATTTTTTATGGTGTCAAAGATAATTCCTTCTGCCCTGTTACACACTTTTGTACTACTTCATTTCCCATTTTTAATGCCTTCAGGGTATAGTAAGTCGATCTAATGAGCCACACAGCCAAAAAATACTCATAATTTCTCTTTGAACTACTCAAACTCATAAATAAATAGCCAATTTCCGAAAGCCATGTAAAACACATCAAGCTAGTCAAACAGTAAAATCACAAAACTACAAACAAATATATCACTTTTTGGGGTCAAGAAAATGAATTCAAGCAGATTTATCAAATGTCTCAAATGTCTACGTTTTGGCAAAGAGCCAAAAAAGTACATTTTTCAAGCCGTTGGCCATGATTCCATTGAAAAATGATGCATGAGTAGAAAACCAGTTCCACATGTGTGTGAGTTCGGTTTGGAGAGATTCATTCGCATTAAAATGGATGGGTTGGGAGACTCATCAGCATCAGCTGGCGCAGGATTCATCTGCCTCTGACTTTTTACAGTTTGCCGAGCAACTGGCAATGGAATTTGAAGAGCAATTGGGCAACATCAATTGATGATTATTCAAAATGGATTTACGTGATGTAAAACTGTTGATAATAGTTTCAACTATGCAAACTAAATGCAGACATATTGAGTATTCCATAAATATCAATTATTTAAAGTGGTTTACTGATAACCAAAATAAATGTTGACTTTTGAGTTAGGGAAGGTAAATCTTAGAAAATAAAGCTGTGTACAAATTAAAGGTAAACTAACTCAGCATATTAAAAGTTGGTTATTTACTCGTTTGTTTGTCTAAACAACTTTTGCAATTACACTAACAAACAGTAAATAATATATAAATGGGACAAAAATATTAAATTTATATTATGTATAAGAAATTCCAAGCATTATTCAAAGCAAAATTACAAATACTAATTTAAATTTGTAATTATTTAGCTTTTGTCATTTGCTTTTCATGCTTATTATAATTATCAAAAAAGTTTCTATTTCAAGTTACAATTTTCCCAGTTTAATAATCAATAAAATTCAATCTTAAAGTTTGCACTGCGTTCGTCAAGACAATTAATATAAAAAAGCCGAAAGCTTTTTACCAATTTTCTAATGGCATTTGTGCGGCTTTTTCTTTTAAACTAGAAAAGTTCAACGAGGACAACACGAACAGGGAAAGCAACAACAAGGAGAACAACAACAACGACAACGACAAAAAACAGCAACAACAACAAGAACATAGATAGAATGAAAACGAACAAGTTGTTAACCCAATTTGCCGTCTTATGGCTCCGCATCGCTATCAAATTCCTGAGCGCATTGCGAACAAGGGGAGGAATGGGAGCTGGAGCAGTAGCAGGAGCAGGACCTCAAGTCAAAAAGAAAGAAGAGGCAGAATGACCTTCAAAATGAACTGCACTGCCAGCAAGGAAGCAGTAGCTCAAACTCAATGGAGATGTCGCCCCGCATTTTCACCTGAAGGCAAAAATATATAAAAATTATGCGCATGCATTTTGCACAGTATTACTGGCAAAACAAGACTTCAAATGGGGGGCGTGGCTGGGCGGATAGCATATTTATGAACAGCCACGTTTGCGACAAGAAAGAAAATCAACTAAGAAAGCTCTAGTCGAGAGGGAGCACGACTGACAGATACCCTGAACCCAATGCAAAGTTGACTGGCTGATTTTAGGTTGATTCTTATCCCATCTTGATAAAATGTTTGCAGATGAGCCTTACTGTATCCAAGGTATATACAAAACCGATTAGAAGGATGCATATTTAAAGTAGTGACATTTTCTTGCTATCGGAAATCGATTCTTCTTGATATTCGCGAAACGAGTGGAGTTATCGATAAAATGAAATAATTAATATTATGTTAAGGTATATAAAAACACGCTCAGGTAAATATTTCTTTAAAATGATGGCTTTTTACATTTTGAAATTTGGTTTTCATTTTGCAAAAAGTGGTTATCGCCTGTATTAAGTTCTTAGTAACTGTTTTATTGTTCTTTTTCGACTATTATTCGACTCCTCTGTTAATGCTGATCAACAATATATATATATATATATATTAAGGGGTCGAAAATGGTTACATACTGTTGCTGTTACATACTTCTGGCCAAGTTCACTATGCCAGTTTGGCCCATATTCAGTCTGTCATACTCAAAAGCCTTATTAGACCATTTCCATTGCTAGGCTTCTTTAATGCCGGATTTCTATTAGTTGTACTTATTTTGTTCTCATTTTGTCTGCTATTTTTCCCATCGTGAAAACGAAATGTCAGCAGGACATTTAGTGTTGTCATGGTTGGGATGGACTAACTAATACATATTTGATTGTGTCCTCGTCAGGATATGTGTATGTACTTAAGTACAAATGTCATTTGGGCGTAATCAACCCGGTAATCGAATGGATCTCATCTTGAATATAAATGGATATTGAGAAGGTCATAAAGGTTGCGGGCGAGATGGTAATTAGAATATTTGATTTATATCGGCATACAATTAAATTCAAATTATATTATTATACATTTGAGACTCTAATAATGCAAAAGTGTCTCACAAATTGCCACTTAATATGAAATTATATTACTTTAGGCAATAAAAACAATTAAAATTTCGTAATGAGAAATAACAAAGACAAATGCAGTTAATTTACCCTGTTCATGCTAATAGCAATAAACTAAGAACATATGATTTAAGCTGCAAATAAATTAAGTTTTTATATACCTCACTTAAAATGCCAAAAGCGACTGTAAAGCAATATATTTTAATTAACCTTTTAATATGTAATTGTGTTGATGAAAGCAGCAGTTTTTTGTTCAACTGCTCCGAGTTGTATTTTAATTGACTTCTGTTTTAATCAATTGTTATTTTCTGAGATTTAAAAATATTTTTCAGACAACATATAAAAGAAAATAGGCTTATAACTTTAAACAAAATTCGCAATCATTTTTTGTTTGCATCCATTTTTCTCGTAACGGAGATTTAAAAGCAATTCCTTGATTTCCAAAAAAAAAAAAAAACAATTTTTGCATTAATAGTTCTTGTGGCATAAAAGAGGCATTTTCAGCTCTTAGAGTGCCCTGCAACGGACTAAAGTCCTGTCGAGTTTATATGTAAAAACGTGATTGTGCAAATTAAGAGGTTGTGCAATCATTTCTGACACTTGACGAGCTACTTAAGTCTGTAGTTTGAGTGTGGTTTCTATTTACACCAAAAAAATCTTTAAATACTCAGCTGATGTTGCTAATGTGATTCTTTCCGTATTTAACGCTTTTTTAATCTAATTAATTAGTGTGAAACAAAAATACAAATTTTATGAGTAAAGGAAAACTTGCGTGTAATTAAATCAATTCATTAACAAAAAACAAATGGCAAGCAATAAAATTGCACTCGAAAACTTTTAAAACAATTTTCGAATTCGTAAAGCAAAGAATTAGCTATGCAGCAGCACTGGCCAAAATGGTAAACTAAAACTAAAAAAGAAAAAATAGAAACAAAAACACCAATTTCAGAAATGCAGTAAAATTAAAAAGAAAAAGTTATAAACAACTTTGTAGCATACTTTTCAGTGCTGGGCAATTCATTAGGAAACAAAATGCAGACAGAGGCAGAAACAGAGGCAGAGGCAGAGGCAACTAAACGAATTGAAATGAAAGCTAAACGAAGGAATGACAGCTAAACAAATACCAATGGCAAATAGATATTATCTGTTGTCCCCTTCCTCCCCTCTGCTCCACTGCTCCTCTGCTTGTACTTACGTCTTATGCCCCAATCCATCATTTTGTTGGCTTGATTGTTGGTCTTGGAAAAGAAATGCCAGGTGGTGTTTTTGTTGTTGTTGCTGTTGTTGTTGTTGTTTTATACGGCAATTGGGCAACATTAGCGTCGACAAATGCCGGACAGGAACCGGCTGCGACTAAACGTTTGTTTTTGCGTCTTCATTCTACATCATGGCTACAGAAAAAAAAAGTTTACGACAACAGCAACAACAACAAGAGCAACAGCAACAGCAACAATAATAACGGGCGACAGCAGCACACACAAATTGAATTGAACTGTTTCTAATTTTGACAATTTTATGTATGCCTCAAGGAGAGCAGCAAGGACGACACCGACACCGACACATACACACACACACACGCACAGGCTACCGTTAACACAAAAAACTGTTGCAGCCGCTGAGGCTGAGGCGCTTTCAGCTTTCAACTTGGTGAATTTCCAAATTCCGGTGCCAATTCTTCGACTTCAATTTCGCTTGCCGCTTGTCCGTTTTCGTTTTCGTTGTTTTTTGCCCCGGGCCGTGTGCTGTGCGCTGCGCTGCTGTGGCCCGAGCAGCATTTACTTCATGACTAACAAAACGAAACCCAAACCGAAAATACTAAAAATCCAAAGCGCACAGACACAATGCGCTGCTGACGCCAACGGCGACGGCGACGACGACGCCGACGAACTCTTCGATGGCGAAGTGTGACTGTGACGGTGCCGAATGTGCATGTTGTGCAGATAACTGTGTACGGGGAGCTGTGAACTGTCAAGGTGCGACTCAGAGAGAGAGAGAGAGAGAGAAAGAGAGAGTGAGAAGTCTGCTTCGGCACTCGAGTCTCCGAATCGGGTGCGTCGACATTGACGAGGACATTGACAACGGCAACGACAACAACAAACACAGCTTGAGCGTCGTTTCAGAAAAAAAAAATTCAAGTGACCGCAACGCTGCTGTCGTTATTATTATTGTTGTTGTTGCTGTTGTCGCACAGGTGGCGCTGTTCTCAATTGAAAATTTAACCAAAAAATTACTATTATCCTTAAAGCCACTCACAAACGTTAGCAGAGAGAGTCAATGGGTGGGAGTGACATACACGGTAAAGAAAAGAAGTAGCGCTTAATAAGATATTTGCACAGTGGAACCCTTAATAAAATAAATAAATAAAGGCTCCAGAAGCTCGAAGCCTAAAAGCATGCAATATAATTTGTAATGCCTCACATTAATCAACCCTTAAGCAAATACTTCCTGGGTTGAAAAGCACTTCACAAATATGCCAACTAATGCCATTGTACCAAAAAGAGAAAAGAAAAGAATAAAAGCAAGAACAACAAGTGTAAAGATGGCAAAGCCAACTCGAAGGAAACGCAAAAGAGAGCTGAAAGAGCATAGGCGCTGCTGCATTCACTTCACCTGCTCTCTCTCTCTCTCTCTCTCTCTCAATCAAATATATTGAACGCATATTAAGAGCGCGCAATATCCAATGGCAAGAGAGTTAGATAGATAGTAAGAGAGCGCACTATTAAAAACAATAACAACAACAAACAACGACATCGAAATGCTGTTAAAGTGCCAAAACCACTTGAAGCTAAACAGACAGACAGGCAGATAGCATAAAAGAGCGGGGGAATACAAAAAGCACTTGCAATCAGTTGCAGGTGTTGTTGTTGTTGCTGTTTGCTTTAGACGTACGTAAAGTTTGTCATGTTAGCAGATAGCCGGCCCGGTCAGGTAAATAGCAGATATGGTCAACTGCTGGCAACAGAAACAGCTACTCGAGAAATAAAAGTGCCCCAAAATTGAGACACTACTAAAAACTGACTGGTGGATGCTTAAGTGGAATTAATTAGTGTGCCAGCCACAAAATTAATGCAAAGAGAAATAGAGTGAGAGTGAGAGGGAGAGAGAAAGAGGCTGCGCTGCTTTCATGAAATATTTACACAAATGTGGTCGGCATTTACATTTTACACCTTTTTGAATTGCACACGCAAAACGCCAAAAGGCAATGAGAAATTATTGTCTGCGTCTGTATGAGTGTGAGTGTGAGTGATTGCGTGAATGAGTGTGTGTATGTGTATGTGTGTGTGTGTGAATGCATGGGAGAACAGCAGCATTAGCAGCAGAGCAGGCGACAGAGCAGGCGGCAACATGTGGCTGTTAAGCGGCTGCGCTGCCAGCCTCAAAACTTTGCTGCTTATGTGGTCGGCTGTCTGTGTGTGTTTGTGTGTGTATGTGTGTATGTGTGTGTATGGTGTATGGCTGTGTGCGCCAGTGTTCGTTTGATGCCAACAAGAACATTTCCGTTCGCAGCATTTCTTTATTTTCATATTTTTTTGTCGCCCTTATTTAAATGTCACTTATGTTTGTCGTTTTACTTTACGGCCGTTGTTATGTGTGTGTGTGTGACATTGAATTCCCAGCGGCCTTTTTATTTTGTGCAGAAAGTTTATCATTTTCGTAAAAGTATGTTTGTGTGTTTGTGTGTGTGTCCCGTGTTGCCTTACTTACTTTCTCTGATTCTCAACACTCCCCCCCCCCCCACCCACTATCTCACTCCACCTCTTCAAATTAGTCCTTTACATTTATTCTTTTACCCGATTAGTGTTGAAATGTGGTTTTTGTTGCCTACTTTTTGGCATGCGCCGCATTTTTTGACATGTATTTGCTCGAAATTTTTTGATTGATGTGTGAAGATGATGATTTAAAAGAGGAGTGAGTGAGTGTTGAATCAATCAATCAATCACTCAATCAATTAAAATCAATCTAAATCAATAATTCACTTACTCACTCACTGGAAAATTATATTTATTTTCTTTTAACTCTTTGAATACTGTAACGGTAACGGTTTCGTAATTTGCAAATGTTGCTGGCCAGCTTTTTGATGTAAAAGCTTATTGCAACGAGCTTTTGTCACGCTTGCTTTATTATCCTTTCACTGTTTGGTTTGTGTACTCGCTAAGATAATTTCATACAAATACAAATTGAAAATTTTGGTTCTGAAATTATTATTTTTTTTTTGTTGGTTTTCCAATTTATGAGCATGCATACTAATAATTAACTTCACAAATATTCAATATTTAAAAATTTAAAGTATTGCAAGAAAACTGTTGGATAAGCAATACAAAAACAAACAATTTTTTTAAATAGCTAAAGAAAAGCCTATTTATTATTCGATTTATGTTTTAAAAGTGTTTGCAAAGATATGTAACCGTTTTTAAACTCAGATACTTTGAAAATTCAATAATAATTCAAAGCTCTTTTGACAGTTTCCCAACTTTTGCTGACTTCATTATAATGTTAGTGTATTCAATTCAATAAATAAAAACTTACGCAGTTTTTCACACATGTCGTCCTTCATTTTCTTCAAGTAGTTTTCCAACAAATAACTTTACACAATTAAAAATTGGTTACGTTCCCTTTTGGTCTTTTCACATACTCTGAGAAACTTTGTTACAACACTTTGAAATGCCAGCAAACAATCGAATCAAGTTCCCAAGTTGTGTGTAAAATACCAAAACTCTTAAAATATGACAAAATAACAACAGCAACAAAATAGCAACAGTCAAATTCGCTTCTTGTTTTTGTTGATAGGCAGCATAATTATTGATAAAACAAAGCTAATCGCATGCTCCAAGTTTTCCGATACATATTTATTTATGAATGAGTTGCGTGGCTCACACTTTGAACCCCCCTCCCCGCACCCTTCGGCCAACCCACTTGAAAGCCAACTAAGTGAATTTAAATGGCCCACAATCAGGGAAAGGATTTTCAAACTAGAGAAACTCACCTCGTGACGTCGGATGATTCATGAGTATCGACAATGGGCACTCGTCGTCGTCAAGGATGTACTCGGTTCCATCGCTGTTTACCTGTAGAAGAGTACAAAATCATTCAAGAAATTACTACAAAATCAAGCAAACTATATTGAATATATTAGAATGAAAAACCAGTTGAAAAGTTCAACTAGCTCGCTAAGAAATAGCCTGAACCCAGCTTTTAATACATAGTATGCTTGCTGATATTAATATAGTTTGTTCAGCATTAAAATAAGGAAATCTATGTTTCTTTTCAGATTTTAATGACATTATTAAGAACCCTATATTTCTGCGCATACTAATATATATCAATTGGAAGATTATATCTTTACAAGTGTATCTTTCATTACTGTATCCAAATTTCCAAAACGGGCAAAGTTATCTCTAAGACAAAATAAACTGGATTTGCTTATGGTGTAAAAGAAATCTCTAGATTGGATATGATCTCAAATGATAATAACATCAATATTTTACAATATGAACTCAAATGAGAACAAAATCAATGATTTTACAATTTGGAAAACAAGCAATTAATCAACAATTATGCTGAGGTTTGACTGAAGAAAATTGCAATTGAATTGTTAAACGCTGAGATGGTTTTCACTTTCTACTTTCAAATGCAGATAATTTATCCACAACACAAATATGAAAATGGAGAAAAGAAATCTTACAAATATAAATAAAAAATAATAATATAAGCAATATTACAAATGTCATAAATAAATTTTAAAGCGCAGAGAGTTTTTTCTACTTTCGCATTCAACTTTAATTTGTGAATAGAAATCTTTTCCGAACCTGGACGAGGCAATAGTGAAGAGGATCCGCCTTCTCGAGGCCATATTTGGTGAGCATTTCCCTGACGACAGCCTGGGCGCAGTCTCGTATGGAGAGGAGCAGCGTTTTGTAGGGCACATCCTGACAGAGGCTTTCCCCGTAGATCTTGAGGGTGCCACCGGTGTCGGGGCCACCGTCACGGGAACGAAACTGTTGCAGCTTCTTTTCGAGCTTCTGCTGTCGGCGTCGTCGCATCACCGCCTCCGGATTTGAGATCGAGCGTGTGAATGACGTCTCCGGCAGTTCTGTGTACAATTTGCCAGCAACGGCATCACTTGAATTGACACCATTATTGCCACCGATGCCGCCGTTGCCACCGGCACTGCCATTCATATGGGCCGCTGAAGCGGATGCGCCGCTGCCACCGACACCATTGCCCAGGCCCAGTTGACTGCCATTGGCTAGATTGGGCAGATCGGAGCTGAGCTTGGCCATCTTCTCCTTTTTCTTTTGCTCCTTCTTCTCGCGCTTGGACAGCTTGCGCTTGAAGTTCAAATCCGACTGCTCAATGGGCTGCAAGATAAATTACGATGAGAATTAGTTGATTTGAAATCAAGTTGAAATAATGCAAATCTTACCGTCGTCTTCTGATCGATGTTCTTGAGCAGGAATCGACCCTCGCGATCATCGATGTGCCAGTTGAGCTGCACCAGCAGCGGCTTCTCATCCGCATTCAGGCGACGCTCCTCCCCATTCGCATGCACCTCGTAGAGGGCGTAATTTGGCACCGAAAGCATTCGCATATCGGGACGAAACTTCTCAATGAGTGTGTCTGCAAAAACGGCGCAAAATAAAATTAAACATAAATAAAAAGTGACCAGTGCCCTTATCAAGTATCACGAACCCAGATAAGATAAGAGCTAATAAATAAATCATATCATATTTGATACCCTCAATAAATTGTCTGTAAACATATCTGAATGGCCGTTTCAAATATTCCCAGCTTAAAATTTGAATTATATTGATATGAATTTAGAGAAACGATCATAAGAAATTTGAGCAAACTAGTTTTTCAATTTTCTTGTTCCCTATTGATTTATGTTGATCTTAAGTTAAACGGCGTAACAATCAAAAATGTTGAATTGAATTTGGAAAGTAACTCAATGTTTTAATCACAATAGTCACTATTCAATAGCTATATCGACTAAGCTCTCTTTTACTATTCTATTCCCACAACTAATTCATGTTTTTTAATCTACTTTACGTTTATTATTATTAAGGTATAGAATTATGCCACACCCCTTTTAAAGCCCACTTTATCCCATATCCATTTATAGATTATTATACCAATTCTCTTTCTTAGATTTCTAAGTAGACTGTTCATTGTTAAAATGCATACAAATATCCAATATCCGTTTGTAAATTTGCCTTCAGAATTGTAGGGTATATAATTATACCATATTCTGTTGTAAACTGTTTCCGAGGGTAGACAATTATCCCATATTCTTCTTAATCTATGCCATATTCTCTTCATAGTTAGATGTTATGCACTATGTGCCATTTTCTTTTTAATTATACTTAATTATTACAGGGTATATAGTATATATTCTATATCCGGAATGTGTTGACTAACCTATGACATCTGTGACTGTGGCATCGCTGGCAACTCGAATGCATTTGGTGGCCACCTTCTGGCCGGCATCTTGAAAATAGAAGCGCATAACGCCATGGAAGAGCAGGTTCTACAATGTACAAAATATATATTTATATTAGACAGATTCCACGCAGACATACATATATATATATATATATATATATACTTTAAGGGTGCAAATGCATACCTCATCTGGTTCGGAGAGCGCAAAGAGATCCAATCGATTGGCATTCCATTGCTGTATAACTGAACGTACTGCCTCGCGATCCAACATTTTTTTATCATGTGACATGCTGTCAAATCGGCGGGGCAGAGCAGGGTGGGTGGGGTGGTAGCAGATTGGGGGAGAGAGTGTGAAAGAGATAGACGGAGAGAGAGAGAGAGAGGTAATGGAATTTTTGGAATGTTTATCGTATTTGTGACTCCAGTGTGACGTCGTTTCTCAGCTCCTTCTTCTTCTTCTGATTCCGTTTCTTTGCTGTTGTTGTTGTTTTTGTTACTGTTGTTGTCTTCTGGCAGCTTCGGCTAACTGTAAACACAAACATGAGCAAAAGGGAGAATTGGGTTAAAATTAGATTCTAGGTTTACAACTTCCATGAAGCAATCGTAAAAAATTGAAATTGTTCACACAATTGCACACCAAATGTTGCATTTCCGACAGCTGCCACATCAAAAGGTGCAAAAATATGGCAAGCCCATAAACATATCGGTAGTAGAGGTAAATTGGGGTATATACATATATAAATTGATCTGACATCAGCTAACTTAACATAAGCAAAAAGCAATGTTATTTTTAATACAACGTGTTGACAGCTAATCGGCAATATTAGCATAAGAAATGCAATTTAAATATTTATTTAATTATTTAAAAATAATAGTAATAATAAAGGTTAAAATATAAGTTTTGTTGATATTTTAAGCTCTTTAATTTACTTTTAATGTTATACATATTCAAAACTCTCTTTTCCCAACAATTTAAGACAAACAAACAAAAACCTTGAAGGCAAATCAACAGATAATTGAATAAATGCTTGCCTTTTTTTAAATGGTGCAGAGTAAAAAATGTAATAAATCAAATACCAAGTAAATGTTTAGTGGAAAACGTCACGTCATGTACCCAATTATGGATAACATGATACAAAAAAGAAAGATAATATTACAACGATTATTACAACAATTATTAATTGAAAATGGCATTATTACGATGTGCGTAACCCTTGAAATGCCCATATACCGTACTACTGCCTCTTTCCCTTACCTTCATAGATGTATTCAAGTTATTTAAAAGACAAATACCCCACAGATATCATAGCAACTCAGCTTACATCTCATATATATGTGCATGACAATAATAACTGACCATCGGTTAAACAAAAGACCCCTTTTTTTATGGAATGCAGCCACACATGGCACATGCCTCTTTACATTCTGTGTGCTGTCAATTAAAGAGTTTCATTACAGATCTCCCTCCCACGCCCCTTAACCAGCTGACCGGTGACCCCAGACGAAACAACGAACAACTTCATCGGGGCAGAAAATAAATAATGTTGCACAGCAATTTAAAATGTACAAATGTACCTCAAGTTGTTCTTAGGGCGTGTCTGAAACGTTCAAAGTTCATCAAAGTCCGATGTCAAAAAAAAAAGCGGAACTATGCCTCAATCCCCTTACCACACCCCACCCACCTGCCTGCGCCTGCACCCTCCGCTCCTCCGATCCAACTTTACCAATTGCCCCTGTTATGTCTTGATATCTGTTGCTTTTGCTCTTTCTTTTCTTTTTCTCTCTATTGTTTCTTCTTCTTTGGTGTTTTTCGTACATAGTTTAATAACCGTCAACGGTTACGCTTCGCAGAATTCGTCGTTGGCTGCGCACTCGACACGCAAGGGGGCAAAAGAGTGTGGCTGAAGTGGAAGCAATGCACCCGCCACATACTGAAAAACCCCATAAAAGGGAACTTTGCTTAAGCTAAGCAATTTGTACAATTGCAATTGGGAGAGGATGAGGATGAGGATGAGGGTGAGTGTGAGGATGAAGGAGGGATCGTATTTTGTCAACAAACCAACTTTAATTGTAACAGAAAAAGAGTGGAATTTCGTTACAAAAAAAAAAATAAAAGTTCACTGAGTTCGTACTTTATTTAATCGTTGTCTAGCGGTTAACAGCTAGAAATTCAATTTTCATTCAAATTCAAAAAACATATTATTTTGTCTGCTAATAAATCTTTATATTTATTACCATCCCATTCACTCTTCGTTCCATTCAAATTAATTTTATTTTAGGCAAATGCGATAAATCAAGATCGCATTAAAAATTAAAGTTGAAAGTAGACTTTTTCTTCCAATGTATTCTAAGAATAAAATGCAAAACTAAATTATTCAAACGTATTTATTTTCATATAGAAGCAAAAATAAATCTACTAAAAAAATCATATATTGTACCATCAAATAAATGAAATTCCAGTTTTGGTACACTTGTACCAACTGTGGTAAATTTTGGAGTTACCCAGGAAACAAACTGCCACTGCAGGACGAAGGAATTACAAAATGGGTTTTTTTCCTGTTTAATGTTTGTGGCTTGGTTTTGAATTGCATTTCAATACACCTTTATTGGCTAACAAAAAAGTTGGTTGCCGAGCAGTTTTTGTGGGTTGTTTAGGGGAATTTTACAAATGAGCTGAATACTTATTATTTATTTCGAAATATTTTTTGAAAAGAGTTAAATAAAAAAAAACTCGCTAAAAATCAAATAATTTGCGTTATTAGTATCAAGAAAAAAGTTTATTAAGCCAAAAGCTACTTTAACAGTCATTAGCAAGCACTTTGTAGTTAACAGTTAAATGACACAGAAAGGAAGAATGCAGACAAAATATTTTCAGTAACTTGACAAGCCACAAGACAAAAGAAAAAAGACCAGACTTTGTCCCAAGTAAAACTGGAAATGTTTATTTTTCTTTTATTTTTTTTTTGAATTATTTGGGCATTATTTTACAACATTATTAAAAAGACATAAAAGTGACATTTACACTGTCGTCGCAACGGCGAGCAAAGTCAACAATTAACTTGTCGCTGTTGTTGTTATTGTTGTTGTTGGTTTGTGCGCACTGAGCCCAAAGATTGCGACTGCTGATAAAACTGTAAGAAAACCAGCCGGAAAACCGCAAAACCAACAACAGCGGAAAGAAACAACACAAACAAAAAAAAAACACTGTTGCTTGACAAATAGACAGAAAAAGCAGAAAGACAAATAGACGGACAGACAGACAGACAGTCCGAGAGAGACAGAGATAAATGTATAAACTAAAAGCACCGCAAGACAAAGCCAAGACAAGAGACAAAGGCTGGGAGAAGAGGTGAATGTACCGACCATGATCTCTGTTTGAATTGGGCGCACCAAAGTCTCCCAACTGGGTCGGGGACACGTTTAAGTGCTGTTGGCCTAGTCACAATCAGCATTATTGGCTCTTGTCGTTTTTTTTTCTTACAGGAGCCATAAAAATAAAAAATAAATAAGAAACGAAAAGCACTTGTGGGATTTGCAGTTTGCCAGATTTGCTTTCTCAACCAAAGAAGCTAAAACAAATAGTTGCAGCAAGTAGAAATTGTAATCATACAAGAAAAATCCTGAATTTACTAAGAATCGCTGTTATCCCGTTTTCACCTGACATTCGAGACTTCAAATCGAAGCCGAAGCTAAATCACTTATTATTGTTGTTTTGTTGAACTTTGAAATAGGTAATTTCAGGTTTGGATCAGAAAATAAATATAAAAATAAATCCCAAGCCAGCCACATAAAAACTTCATTTTTAAGCAGAGCAGAAACAATTCAAAGTTAATATTTATAGATAGAACAAAATGTTCCTATTTTACAGTTTGAAATGTTGTCATTTCAAAATCTAAAAAAGATAGTCTCCAAATTACGAGTCTTCCAGTCAGTTTACATTGAAAAATGACCAGTCTAATTTATGCGCAATTCTAATTTCAGGCAAAGCTCTCTTCTTACATGCGAATAATTGCCGCACTTAATTAAGTTAGTTGCCACGTTGAGCGGCGCTTAATTGAAACCCAATAAGAAAGACAGTAAGTCAAGTACGTTGACAACACTAAGGCAACAACAGCAACATTAAAAACAACATCAACAAAGCGCATCTGCCATCATCATTCGTCAATGACAAGCGTAAATTTGCTTCAATCAGCAGAATCCGTTTTCTGTTTCAATGAATGGGAAATAGCAACAACAACAAATATAATTGTTAGCCATGACACAAACCTTTGCGCAGTTCGGTACTTTTATATCTGTGGCGTCTCTCTCCCTCTCTATCTGTCTCTCTGTCATTCGTTTGTCATGTTTGCCTTTTGCAGCTTTGCTTTGCTTTGAAGTGTTTTTCTGTGGCTTCTTCTTTGCCGGGCCTTTAAAGCCAGCCTGTGACACTTTTACACTCAACTCAAACAGTTAGCAAAACAAAATAAATAAAATTTGTAAAGGTGCTAAATTCGACTAGGAGAATACACTTTCTGAATAGGCAGAGGGAAAAGGATAAAGAAAATTAATAGGAGAGAGATATGTAAAGAGAGACAGAGATATAGACAGCAATAGAGAATGGGAGATTAACATAGAATACGAAGAGAGTGCAGAGAAAAGATTATGTTTATTACATCACAAGAAATAATTGTTTTCAACCAAACACCACACTGTGAAGTCCTGAACAACTGAAGACCTCAGTTCAAATCATTAGAATCGCGTAGAAGAGAGATATTTAATAAAGAATTATTTTAAATTTAAAAAAGAAAATAATGTTATCTTGATCTGCGTATCTTATCATTAAGATATATCTATATCTTACAATCGTAAGGACATGTGAAAACATGTAGAAACTTTTATAATTAATATATTTTATATATTTGTCTGCTTTTGAACTTTGAAACATAAACTTTAAGTTGTGTTGGGTTTCCCTTTTATTTCAATAAACAACAAAACTTTTAATTTTTTTTACATTTAACTATTTGTTGTAAAATATAAAATATATAAAAAATCGATTTTTCATGTGTACTGTGACTCAAGCCGAGTAACATAGCTAATAATCTGCAACCTTCGGCATTTTAAACTCAGCACTTGTATTATTTATAATCCAATTTAAACGGCGCCGACGTTGCTTAAATATTTCTGGCGACATTTTTCTATTAAAAGTGCTCGGAATACTTAACTACTTAGGCACATCAGCGCACACTTGTTTAGAGTAGTTATGAAAGTCAGTTATGAAGTTAGTTATTTGCTGCTAAGTCATCAGTAACTGTTGTTGACGCTTTATTGTTGTCTTAGCGCAACTTTTGTTGGCCAAAATAAATTTCATTTCATCGTATGTGAAAACTGAAAAAGAAAAAAAAAAAATATTAAAAAAAAACCGGCGTATGCGAACCGGCGTCAAATGACATACCAAAGTGGTTGTTGACTCTTTTTGTTGCTCATATTTTTATACCCTGAACGTACGAGTACTTAAAATGGGTAGAAACGGGTATAATGAAGATGCGA